GGAGCTTTTACTACAGGAACTCCACATACCGCTGTCATGAAGATGAGATGACCAGCCTTTTCTCAGATATTCAGACCCATACATTTATGAGAGAAAAATAAAACCATAGAGAATGTTTTTGTTATTTAAGAATTGTAAGATGAACTCTGATTTAGATTCCTCCTGTTTACACGTCGAAGAGCAGCACAAATCCTAAATGTGATTTAATGGCTGTGAAAGCTTAAAGGGTCTGATACTTAAGACAGCATTGCCCGTAATCTCTTTGCCTCTCCTCTTTTCCTCCCCTAGCCCTAATGTGTAGAATGCAACAGGAATAATGTCAGAAGAGTAGGGACACCTGCCAAATTTGGTCACCTGCAGAGCATCCCAGAGACAAGATGAACTAAAAAATCCATAGAAAAATAAATTCTGGAGAGTACAAAAAAAGCTGGGAGAAAGGATCTTGCATTAATTACCATCTTTCGTGCAAACTTAATTTCTCATAAGGCCATTTTTATCTATGAACTGCTAGTAACCATTTACAAAATGCTGCACAAAAACTTTAAACAAAATGACTGATGTTAAACAGAGGCCTTCTTTCTAAGCTTCTAAGCTAGCCCTCCACTCATAAAATATTTCAATATGGAAGAACTTTTTTCCTCATACAGCAAAGTTTAAGTCTTAACTAAAAATGTGCTCCATGACTGAATTTGCACAAGCCAAAAAATTGTGCTTTGCCTCAGGAGGCAGCTTAGTGCAGCTAGGATCAACTTACTGATCAACTTGCTTGTTTTTGCCAAATTAATGCAAAAGTGTCGTTCATCTTTTAAAGAAAGCACAAGCCAGAAGAATTTGGTGTCTAAGATTTAACACACACACAAAAAGTGACTCCATGTCAACCTGATTGTAGAACAAAATGAAGCAGAAAGGATGCAAATGAAAAACAAAAACTCCTAGAGTAATTAGAGTATTCTAAGCCAAAGCCTGAATGCAAGAACTTTCAAATGAAGGCAATCCCTCAGATATATAAAAGAGGAGAGGGCAAAACCTCAGAACAAAATACTTGCCATTTTTTTGAAAAGCTGACAGTTTTTATTCACAACGGATAGTCAGCAGTCTATTACTTATGACCTACCAAGGCACTTTGGCATTGATGTCAACATGGGGGGAGGAAAAACTATCAGTTCTGAAATGTGTTTCCCTGCTACTCTTTCAGTTTTTGCATAATTTCACTGCTGAGTAATTTGGGGCTATACATTATGGTGTGGTATCTGTTACATTCATTTCACTTTCTACTCCGAGATAAAAGAAATGTGAAATTTAATTGAATCATGCAATGTCAAGCTTTCATTATACCCCCAATTTATACAAGTGGCAATTACCAAAAAAGAACTGAAACTAACGCATTATTCAGAATTCTCTTTGTTAAACTGGAAGCAACAAGCTGCCTGAATACCTGCCTCAGACGATAAAGCTGAAATGAAACCTCTACATTTAAATCTCCCTACTGACATGGCAAAGATGGACAAAGACTTGAAGAAGCCTTCAGCAACTTGCAGCACCAGATCTTCAGTTTCACACTCAGTCTTCTATATAGCAGAGGCACATACATACAAACACATTTAACCTGGGTATTCCCATAAGAACAAGAAGCAAAAGCAAGACCTCAGAGTAACAGCAAAGGCAGATGAGCAAACAGTAGCACTATCATGCAGAACAGAGGGCAGCACTACCACCCTGCAGCATTTTAGAAGTCCTGCTACCTGCCACTGCAGATTTTTTCCCTCAAGTGCATGTTATCTCTCGGTGAATGAAGGAGCAAAAGCAGAGGTCATAAAGTCCTGCAAGGACTCAACACTACTATCCTTACTACACAGATTTATATTTGTGTTTTAGGAATGCCTTTTTCCACCAGAGACATTCAGTGACTGTTCAAATACACTTTTGTTTTCACACTGTGTATTCATCTTAGTATATCGGCTGTTTTTGAACTCTTTCACAGCATGGACTCCACCTCAATAGATTCTCATGGACAACTAGTACTTTCTGCCTAGCTTTACAAAATCATTTTTCCTCCTACTGTGACTGTTTGAGAATCAACTTGCTTACATGAAAAAGAAACCAACACTCCAAAAGAATGCCATTTCTTTCCAGTCGGTTGAAATTTCTAGCAGCACTAGGATGACAGTACAACTTTGGAAAAGAAATCATGCAACAGCTATGCAAACTGCAACACCAATGAACTGTCATAACAGCATTAGCAAGAGTTTTTCCGCTCACTCTATTAAGAATGTAAAGCTGTAAACAGATTTTCCAAAGAGATTGAACAATACAATGAAATCATCAATTCCCCATCGAAAAACAAGGCCTTCATTTTTAGTTGAAATGCTGCATTTCACTCTTCTCACTGGTCTGTCATCCACCTAAGACAAAGCTTTGCCATACTAGCTGTAGATAGTATGTATTTTCTTGCATCAGTTATTGAACATACTGTCCCCTCTTCCCAGGTTCTAGATAGTTTATTATTTCCAGAAGAGGTAAGCAATGAAACAAAGACCAGATTTTTTATTTTACTGGCTTTTAAGCAATGTAAAAGCAAAACTTTATCTGGGTGGTTTTGTTTTCAGTGAAATAGTCTAAATTTTCAAAGCAAAATAACTGGAAGGGTAGTTGAAATATTTTTCTGTATTCACATAAATACATAATGGTGTAGAAGATGCATAAAGAACAGCAGAAATAATGAAGTCTGATTTATTGCAGTTTGATTCTAGATTGCAAATCTGCGTTGGAGATCATGGCTCCTTTTCATGTCACTCCCTATATTCTTGAAAACCTTCTGTTCATCTCCTTTCTTTCACATCTCAAGTCAAACCACAGCACTCCTACTTGTCTTCCATGTGCCCTGGACTACTAGTTGTGCAAGTCACAATGCATACTGAGGATGATTTCAATACAGTAGTGAAGTGGAGCAGTCAGTTAAGTCATCAGGGAACTGAGTTTACAAGCCTGTCATTCTCTTCTCTGAGGCACTAACTTGAGTTTCCTCCTTCTACGTACATACTATTTTACAAACTCCTAAGATTACCTTTAATATACTCAATCCCACCATCAAACAGAGTTAATTAATGGATTAATGAGTTCAGAAGTTATCACAGGCGATGTCAAGAAGATACAGCACGCTAATGACACTCCATTTGCCTACCCCCCAATTATTATTAATAATAAATTAAGGTGGTGCTTTAGAAGTAGAATGATGCACTATCAAGAGAAACAGAACTTCAACAGTATAGAGACGGACATCTTGGACGTTACTTCAGATTGGGAATCAAAGGTAATATTAAATGATAGAAAACAAGCAAGGATCATCAAGCTCCCTTTTATGACTCACTTGCTTTGGCTATACGAAGCAAAAAATTAGTAGTTTTTAATTCACCTTGTTCACTTGACTTCAAGGCCTCTTTGATTTGCTGTTTAATTTTCATTGCTTCTTCAGCAGTCAAGTCCCCTTTTTTCAGCGTTACCACTTGAGGCTGCTCATCTTCATTATCACTGCCATTATCAGAATCACTATCCGCAAGTGGAAGCTGCTCTCTCTAGAGGAAAGAAACAAAAGCAATTCTGATCAATTGGTACAACAGCAGGCAGTAGTTTTGGTTTCACTTCTGCAGCAATGTTGGTGAGGAGCCATGGCACAGCCCACAGCACCAGGCTCTCCCAGTGCACTTTACCTGAATGACACACATCTACTGTCGCATCCTTCAGCAAAAGTCACAGAATCACAGAATGGCCAGGGTTGGAAGGGACCTCAAGGATCATGAATCTCCAACCTCCCTGCCACATGCAGGGCCACCAGCCTCCCCATTTAATACTAGACCAGGCTGCCCAGGCCCCATCCAACCTGGCCTTGAACACCTCCAGGGATGGGACAGTCTGCATTACTGCAGCCCATGGCATGCATTCCCAGTACAACAGGGACAAACATACACACACACACATATATATTAAGATTTTTAAGATATATATATATATTTTAAGATTTGCTCATATTTGGCGACTAAAACAGGCTCATAGGACTCACTGCAACTCTTTGGACAACACTCAACTCTGTCATGGAGACAGTGTCCCACGGAAAGAAAACAAAAAGCACACACAGACCCTATGGCCTTTACTCTAGCATATGTGTCAGCTGATCAGGCATTAAGACCATTTTAACCCTTTGCATATATAATTTTTATTACACTTTAAAACATTTCTTTCCCCTAACCCCAGCCCTATTAGAACAGTTAAACTGGGAGCATTTCTCCATCCCCCTTGGGATGCCAAGAGGTGAAACAACTGCTCTGTGATGGGGCACCAGGGCTGCAATTACTAAATGACAATGAGATGGGGCAGTGTTTTTTTAATTTATTTTCATCTTCGCCAGAAGAACAAGTCCCCTAGGCAGCCCCAGCCCACAGCAAGCGGGCAGCTACCAGCACCCCAGCCCTTCCAAGGCTCATCCCCCGCCTCCCAGCGGGTTTCGTACCCTTCCTACCCTCCTGAGGGGAAGGGAAGCAGGGCAGCGGTGCGCGGGGCCGAGGAGGGACACGCTGCCGAGCAAGGACCTCTCCTCAGGAAGGCCGTTACCTTGGTTTCCACCGTGGGCCCCTCCCGATACCCGACCTGCCGCTTAAAGCGGCTGAGGAAAGCGGGCTCGGCCGGCCGCACGTAGGAGACCTGGTTCCTTTTGCTCATGGCCGCTGCCTCCAGCTCGGCCACAAGCGGCCAGCTGCCCGCTTCCGGTAGCGAAGGACGGCAGCCCGAGCGGGACAGCCAGAACGCTTCCTGCTTCCGCCTTACTGCTGATATCCCCATCACGTGACGAGGGCAGACATGCTTCCAGCCAATAGGAGGAGAGAAGCCAGACTAGGGGCAAGAATAGTGCAATGAAATGGCCGCGCCCTTCTTGGCCTCATATTGGGGGCGGGGTTGTGCCGCTTTCGGCTCTTAGCGCCAAATTCAAACACGCCGCCGTTTTGGAGGAACTGTGGGCGGGTAGGGGGCCGTAGGGCCGGCGCGGATTATGGCTCCCGGCACGAGAGGTGAGGGGACGAGGGGGCGATCGGGGTGCGCGGTGAGAGGGGCGGGGGTCCGCGGTGAGAGGGATGGGGGAGTACATTAGTGCCGCTGTCACTACATGGGGACTCTGCGGGGACTGTGGCCGCCGCACTGAGCGGGCTGCGGTGCGTGGCGGTGGGACGGGACGGGACTGTTGTTCTTAAACATTAGTTTTTTTATTTTGATTTTGATTTTTTTATTTTTATTTTTACCTTGACTATTTTCTGTGCATTTTTTTTCACCTTTTCGTAGATTTACGTGATTCTGCAGTGCCTTTGCTGAACTCACCAAGGTAAAGTATTATTGGCCGCTTCCTGTATGTGAAACTTTCCTGTAGGAAAAAGTGCAAATAGTGTAATTGTACAAAATAATGTAAAGTTTTTCACCCAGTGTTTTTCCCACACAGGACTGCCTATCTCTCTCAACTTCCTTTGTGATTTAAAAATAAAATCTCTTCATCTAAGCGCTGTTTTGAGGCATCGGATTTCTTAGAATGTTGTCGTAATTCTTGGATGTAGGCTGGCTTCTATGAGCGAGTCCCAAGCTAAAAGAAAGACACATAAAGCCCTCCAAATATACATGATTGCCCCAACTCAAAATATCACATACTGACAAAATATTTACCAAGTTAGTGAGATGTCTCAAATCCAGTTTCAGATCTTCGCTTTCTCAGCTGCTTCTTCTTCCCCTTTTAGCCTTTTCATTTGTTGCTCCCCCATCTCACATTTCACTCATGAAGTATACCTCTAAAATTGTTCTTTTCCTTTCTCTTGTGTTGCCAAATGTAAAAACCAATGGCAGTTATAATACTATCTTGCTCTAACTGATTGATGTGAAAGAATAAAGTAAATACAAGCTTGCTGTCATTTCATGGAGGGATTAAATTATTTAAGAATTCAGTTGGTATAAATATTTTTATTGATATTTATACTAGAATGTCATAAAGCATTAATATAATTCATACACAGTTGGAGTTTGGTTGCTCCAAAAGTAATGCCTCTTATTTTCACGGAAACTGCAATGTCTACGAGGAGTACAATAACTGTTTGATAGAGTAAATTCTCAGCTACAAAATGCTGGTTTTCAACACAGTCATTATCATTAGTTATGCATTCTCACCAGCAACAAACGAGCCCGTGTACTGCACTCATAAAAGTCTGCAGCAGAGGAGGTGACCCACTATTGCCACTGCTGAACCAAACCACCCACTGCCTCACCAAATGTCAACTGGGGCAATTTTTTCCACATGGAGGAATTTATTGACACCCCTTCACCTCATCTGCACTTCTGTGTCAGATGCCATTCTGTCAGACTGCGCCTCTGTGTCCTGTCACACAGCAACAAAATGCAACAGGATATTGGTGGGAAGGTTCAGCCTCTGCCATACTGCCAACATCTGCATCAGATGTCATGTGCCAAAATAACAAAATAGGAGCATTACTTTAAAGCATTCAAGCTGAGTTTTGAACAAACTGTTCAACAAAGAACAAACTGTTGTATCCGCTGATTAATGTGGTGAAATTGGTCAGGGAACTTTTAATTTTAGGAGCGCTGTCCTTGATCAGATTCATCGATTGAGAATTGATTATTTTTTCACTTCCTGTGAAAAGCAAAGAAAATGCAAGATTTCTTGCTGCAGTATAGCACTGTGTGTTCCACTTGTTAAATCTTTCTCTAAGTTCCTGTAATAAAGAGGATACTTGAAACCTACAGCCTTAGAAATTACTGAAGCCCCATTATAACTACAGTGGCCTGTCTGCTCTCTCTTCCTCCCCTCTCTTTGTACTTCAAATTCACTGTGAAATGTGTTCTTTTAGAATTGTATTTACATGCAGAAACAACAAATTCCGCCAGCTTTTTGTTCTTTTTTAATCTGCCACATTGTAAGCTTTAATACTGTGTCTTATAATGAACTCGTGTACAGCTACAAGGTCTGTAATTTAAGGAAATATGTTTGTATGATTTCATATGCTTAATCTGATTTTTGCAGTGTAAGTCTAACAAACAGCTGATAGATGTATTTCAAAGAAATCTAATGCATAAATATTCATTCAGCGTTGAAGGGGATGCTATCAAGGTTTACGTAAGAGTACGTCCCCCTTCAGAGGGAACTGCATTAACTGATGGAGATCAAGGCTTGTGTTTATCTGTTCTTTCATCAAACACCATCCGTCTGCATTCGAAGCCTGAGCCGAAGATCTTCACTTTTGATTATGTTGCAAATATGGAAACAACACAGGTAATAATTGAATAACTTACAGAAATTTGTAGCTGTAGTGCAGGTTTTCCCCAGATTTTGGCAACTGCTGTGTTAAACCTTTCTAAAGACGTCATTCCTTTGGTCATATTTTTTGGGGTCTTATTTTTTGCTGTGCTCTATTTGTTAATATGTGGCTGTAGTTCAGAGATATTGCCCTTAATTCCACTTTTGAATAGTTTTTATGTATTTTTAAGCACCACTAATTTGTTTAATCAAAGCTTGCGTTAGAATGAAAGCTCCTGTTTGTAAACATAACAGTAATAGCATGAACAGAAAATAACGCCCTGTTGAGATAATCACACAAAAATGGATGGTAGCCAATAGCCGATGTGATTCGTATGTTAGAAGTGTATGACCCTATTACAGTTATATTTCCTTTTATATCTGCTTTTTAACAGATATATTGTTCAGAAATTTTCACTGCTTAATGTTCTTATGCCCTTGGAAAAGGTAATACCAGAAGGAAAATGCTCCAATTTAATCTTCACAATATTGCATTCTTGAAGTTCTGAACATCATTTTCATTTAACATCTAATGCACCACACTTCCATTTCCAAGCTCTTAAGGAAGTCTTTCCTTCCTACAATATGATCTTAATGGGAAAACCTAAAAGTAATCTATCTCAGTTGTTTCTGCAATGTCCTTACAAATGGTGATTAATTTCTTAGTTTCATAAAGCATTGGTTGTATAAGGAGTACGAGTGAGGTCTTTTTAATAGTGCTGACTTGAAGTGTATTCTAATAAAGGAGCAGCGTCATCCTTCAAGTGTCATCTCTGTTTTATATGAAGAAATGAACTGCTCGTGACAGCATCCTGTCATCCATCTTCATGCAGAACTCTGCACAGAAGTTGTGAAGTTCTTAATAAATGTCATAATAAGAACCCATAATATATACATCTCATTTAGCATCTCTAAAAGAAAACAAGGCACTCAGCTATCGTTTGCAGCGAGGCTTTTTTTGCATGTCTAGGAAATGCATGAAAATGGAAGCTGAGTGGCTGTGCACGTTTGCCCAGTATGCCATTGTACCATGGCAAGCTGACCAGTTTTGCTGATCATCATAGTTTCAATTTTGCTATAAACCACATAATAATTATAATGAACACTGGACCAAAATTAATACTATACATAATAAAAATTTTGAAACCATATTGTGGTGAATTTTACTCAGTTTTTTCACAGTGTTCTACGTCACAATGGCTCACCATGTCCTATGACTTTTTTTGCTGTGAGAGACCTCCAAGGGTCGTGATAACCTGTCTGACCCTGAATAATGCAATTGTTTTATACGTTATATTGTTATCACACAGGACAGGCTGATAGAAAAGATACTTAAATTGCTGCAGCCAAGTGTCTTCTCTTTCCTTTGTCCCCAGGAGTCAGTGTTCTCAAGTGTGGCCAAAAGTATTGTTGAATCATGTATGAATGGCTACAATGGAACCATCTTTGCATAGTAAGTCATTTAATGGTTTAATTTCATAGAAATTACACTATTTGAGGAGAGTTTGTTAATGACTAATAGTGGTTTTAATTTCCTGAGTCTGCTTAATGTTAGGGTAAGCTCTGAAAATGCTTCCTTAGTTCAGAACAATGAAGAAAATGTTCTTGCACTATTGAAGTATACTTCTTGTTTCAGCTTTCAAAGTGTTTTCAGAGGAAAACTATATCCAACATTAGTAGCATTAATATCACCATATTAACTGAAAATATTTTCTCACTTTGAAAACGGTGTAGGCACTTCTGTTAAAAATGCTAACTTGGAGGGCTGATCTTATGGAAGTGTTACTGTTTGTTTAGTTTTAGTCTGGAAAAGCTTTTGCAAAACTGAACTCTGCTTTGGAAAAATCAAGTGAAATTGCTGTGAAACTTCTCTAGCATTATTAATAACTAAGGATAATATGAGGAAATATTCAACTTGAAAGGGTTTTAATTGTTAGTTTATGTATGCTACTGAGGGACATTAAACTCATTTTTTTGGTGCAGTCTTCTGGGATTTTATGTGTCTATTTGAAAGATTTTATTTTAATGCTGAGTTCCACTATTCCCTTTCCAACAGAAATGCAAAAGAAAACGGGGGTGAGGGGAGCAAAGAGGGCTGTGAAAAAGTAATTTATCTAACGTGGTCAAAATTCACTCCTCTATTTTCATATATTCTCAGCTTCCCTCTGTTTTTTTAATCTTCTGTTTCTTACATTTGAAACTGTCAGTTTTCTTTAAAAGATACAGATTAATTTAAAAATCAGAGCTGGGATAATGCTTTGTTGTCTTACTACTACTTTATGGGGTTTTTTTTAGTGGCCAGACTGGATCAGGAAAAACTTTTACTATGATGGGTAAGTGCATTAAGACAGCTTTATCTTACATTGATCTTCGTATAGAACTCTGTATAGAAGTTGTGAGTTAAGTAGTTTCTTAATGTTTTTTTTCTGGAGTTGAAATGTCTCCTTGGCTCAAATGCTGGGGACGATTGAGATTTTTCTCTTTCTTTGGGTAGCTTTAAGGTTTAAAGGAGCAGAGAATCCTTATGGTTGGAAGTGTCCTTTAAAGGTCATCTAGTCCAACTCCCCTGCAATGAACACGGACATCCACAGCTACATCACATTGCCCAGGGCCTGATCCAGCCTCACCTTGTTTGTCTCCAGGGATGGGGCATCAACCACATCTCGAGGCAGCCTGTTTTTGTGCCTCACCACCCTCACTGTTGAATCACAGAATGACAGAATCACAGAATGGCCAGGGTTGGAAGGGACCTCAAGGATCATGAATCTCCAACCCGCCTGCCACATGCAGGGCCACCAACCTCCACATTTAATGCTAAACCAGGCTGCCCAGGGCCCCATCCAACCTGGCCTTGAACACCTCCAAGGACGGGGCATCCACAGCATCTCTGGGCAGCTGTTCCAGCACCTCACCACTCTCTGGGTAAAGATTTCCCCCTGATGTCCGACCTAAATCTCCCCTCCCTCAACTTAAAACCATTTCCCCTCCTCCTACACGTATCAACCCTTTCAAAGAGTTGATTCCCCTCCCCTCTGTAGGCTCCCTTCAGGTATTGAAAGTTGAAGACTTTTTCTTTGTATCCAATAAATGGTGTGGAGCTCAGTGCAGTTACTCTTAGTTTGTATCAAGATAGATAGCAAAGTGCAAGTACTCTCCTCCATCTTTTTGAGGTTGCATAATTTTGTTTTTGACAGGAGAAAAACTTTTCAGTGGAATCAAGCATTTTGAGTAAGCTGTATCAAAAAAAATGAGCAGTTCTGCTGTTTTCCTGTTTGGCTGATGTATCCTACATGTGTAGAAAAAATATTAATATGTAAAAAATATTTATATGTAACATTCTTTCATAGTAAAATTATAGTGAGGTTTTCAAAATAACTGGTTCATACCCAACTAGGAATTTAAGACCCCTCAGTATATGAAACCTATTGTATTTTGTACATCATGCAGTGGTAATTTTAAATGCATTAATATTTCACTTGATGTTAGAAGGGTACTGAAACAACCAAAATTGTATGGCTGATCTGTTTAAGGGGACTACATAGGAATTAAATGAACATGGGGCCAGAACCACTGTCTGTCTGATTAGTCAAGTCAGGCTTAAGGCCTCATCTGTACTATTTGACATGGAAGTTCATGTTTCATACTATTTTAGACTTAGGTAACCCTAAAGACAGAAAATGACCTTTCACGGGGATCACTTTGATTTTGTTTAAACCTGAATATTGTGGAATATTGTCTTGGATCATGAAAGTTGATTTCATTGATTTTTGCAGTTCACTAATTGAGTTTTGCCATTCACTAATTAAAACTTACTGAAGTCCTCTATAATGGCACCTTGGAAAACAAACAACCAACCATTTCACTTGAGTAATACTAATTAAAACGTTTTATTTAAAAATCTCTTTAGGACCATCTGATTCTGATAATTTCACTCACAGTCTGAGAGGTGTCATTCCACGGAGCTTTGAATACTTATTTTTTCTAATTGAACGTGAGAAAGAAAAGGTACATTTATTTTCTGCATACTAATGCAGTGAGGTATGTCTCGCATCAAAATTTAGCTAAGGCTGTTTTGTAATGTGGTGTGTGGAAGTGAAGTTTCTGAGATTATGGCTGACTTGCTTAAAATCTATTAATCAGAAGCAATTGTGTCTAGCTCTTCAGACACGTGCACGCTTGTTGTGAATCTAAAAATGCATCTAGGTTTCTGGATGTTGGTTTTCATCTGAGTTTCAAGGGATGTCAGAAATGCATAACATGCTGAATATACATAAGCAAGCTTACAGCTTCATATATATAAAAATAAATTACTGTCATACAATGAAAAGCTTAATAAAAGCTAGTGCATTTATAGTGTAAATGCTTGTGTTTTGAAGGCTGGCAGTGGAAAGAGTTTTCTCTGCAAATGCTCTTTTATTGAAATCTACAATGAGCAGATATTTGACTTGCTAGACTCTGCTTCAGCTGGACTCTTTCTCAGAGAGCACATCAAGAAGGGGGTCTTTGTTGATGGTGCTGTTGAACAGGTGTTATCATCTGCTGCTGAAGCATACCAGGTATTTTTGCCACTTTTAAATGCTTGAACTTCTAATCTCGATTAATGGCCTATTTGGTAAATATTTCTCTAATTTAAGCCCTTGGTTTTTTGGGCGCTGTCTGTGACGCCCTCTCCCCCTTTTCCAAAGCACTGGTAAAAGTCTGTGATTAGATAGCATTTCTTGACCATCTCACACATGTAAGAAATCATAGAGTTCTAAAATATATGGAACATATGAATTGCAATCACCGTAATCTCTCCAGAATACTCCTCATATCTTTGAAATAACAACAGAAAATTACATCCTGTGCTAATTAAGCAGCATGTGTGTTTCAGAAATTGTCAAGTTGATTTCTCCAAGAGTGAAGTGCACAGTACTGCTGTAACTTCAAATATTCTTTTCCTTGTGTACTGCTAACATGTACAAGTACTGGGTATGTTCTACTCTGAAATGGCAATGGCACTCTAGGAGGGAGGAAATTAAAGCTGTAATTAGTTTTTTATTAAGCTTGACTATCTATTTGTATAATATTCCTCCCCCTTGTTTTTTGTAGAATCTATCTCTTTTATATATTATGTCAATATTTTTTAATGTAATATATAAAATACTGGAAAGAATGTGCTTGTTCTTGGGATTTTTGAAAGTAAGTGTACTTACTACTGTTTATCTCACTTTCAAGTAAATAGTGGGTCCTGCCTGAAATACTTGTTTAATGTCTTTTTCATGTTTATTAATTAGGTATTAACTATGGGCTGGAGAAACCGTCGTGTAGCATCAACCTCAATGAACAGAGAATCCTCAAGGTCACACGCAGTTTTCACTATCACAGTGGAATCCATGGAGAAAAACAATGACATTGTTAACATTCGTTCTTCCCTTCTCAACCTGGTAGACTTGGCAGGGTCTGAGAGACAGAAAGACACCCATACAGAAGGACTGAGACTGAAGGTTAGTTCTGTACTATCTGTGGCATCTTTTTCCTCTCAGTTGCATTGCCCTGTCCCATCCACCAGATCTTCTCACTTGTATTTTCTGTTCTAGGAAGCAGGTAACATAAATCGATCACTGAGTTGCCTGGGCCAAGTAATCACAGCACTTGTTGATGTGGGTAATGGAAAACAGAGACACATTTGTTATCGGGATTCCAAGCTCACTTTTCTGCTACGGGTAATATAGATCCTCTGGATTTTACATACTAGTTGGGGTAGAAACAGTTTGTGGTTGTTTGGGTTTTTGTGTGTGTGTGTTTTTGGATTTATTTTTAAATTCAGCTTTGGCAAACTGAACACACGTACATAAAAATGTATGTTAGTATGGGGCATGAAGAATAAAGGATGAAAAACATCTTTTCGCCTAAGCAGATGCTCCATTGCTGCTAACTGAAGACAAGAAATTCATTTATGTTTCTATTTTCCTTTTACATATTTGTAAGTGTTGATAAAGAAGTGTATGCCTTCTTCCTTATAATTTGGGAATTAAAATTTGGGAAAGACTCTGTATCAGTGATATTTAGAGACTGGTCGAAATGTATGACAGGGTCTCCAGAATTAGTCTGTGTGCTAATGTGTGACACTGAGCATTTGACACATTTCCTGTTTCCTATTTGAAAATTCATGGATTGTTTTTGAGCTGATCAGAAAATAAAGATAGAAGCATTCGAAGATGAAGCATTCTTTTCTGTGGGATGCCAGCACTCACTAGAACTCTGAACAGTTACTAATATCAGTATATTTTTTGTTTTATACGACATAGTTGTAACATAAAATTTCTTTTGCTTACTACAGAGATTATTATTTAAAATGGCAAAACTGCAGCATTCCATCCATTTCACGTACACGTTAGAAGTAGGGACCTCAGGAGAGTTATAGCACTTTGGTGTAACACGATTTTGCATTGTAGTACTAGGGCTTCTTGGTGTAGCCCCAAACCTGCAAACAAAGCTAATTTCTATGGAATTTTTTAAACAGGATTCCCTCGGCGGTAACGCAAAAACATGTATAATTGCAAATGTCCATCCAGGATCCAGGTGTTTTGGTGAGACACTGTCAACCCTTAATTTTGCTCAGCGAGCAAAGTTGATTAAAAACAAGGTAAACAAGAACCTCAATGTCTTTATTGCCTGAATCAGACAAGGTTTTTTTATCATTCAAATTACATATCTACCAACAGGATAACTTCAGTAATACACTCTCATGCTATCACTCACTGAAATGAATATAACATCTTAAGATATGAGTTTGCTTTCCCTGATCTTTTTTTACAAATTATTTTTTGAAGAGAATTTGTTTGCTTTTGATTATGAGTTGAGAACAACTGCTGGAGATTTGACAGTGGCTCAGGACAGTGTTGGTGTTCGTTGTTTCTTCTCTGAGAACTAACATTAGAAAATGTGAAGTGTACCCAAATCTGTACTAAAAGTAGTCGTGACAAGTTTAGATTAAATGTTATTCAGTACATCCAGTTTTTCTATATGCTATATGAAAAAAGTAATTTCTCATGAGTCAAAGTATGTTTACATCTTTTGTGAAACTATTTTATTCACCACGTACTGCTTAGCTTTGTTTTTCAAGATTATCTAGAGTAAACTGTACAGAAAATATTCAAATTTCTTAATCTTAATCGTTGCTTTTAGCAAAACTAAATTGTTGGCTGCTCAATAACTTGAACATTTAGCCATGAGTTCTTTCTTCAGAAAGACCTAAAGAGTTCTCAATAGTTTGATTGCTTTGCAGTCTTTCAATTTTTCCTTTAACTATGAATTATAATAAGCTTTCTATTTGTACCTTCTCATGATTTTCTCTTAAATATTTATCAAAGGCTGTGGTGAATGAAGACACACAAGGAAATGTGAGCCAGCTGCAAGCTGAAGTCAAGAAGCTGAAAGAGCAACTTGCTCAACTTACGTCAGTGCCATCTATGCATGATATTTCTGTATCACAAGGTAAGAGTTAGATTTAAAAAAGAGAATTTGCTTCTTTTGTAGCTTAGAGTATGTTGGAGCTTTGTATAATCATCATGTTTCTCAGCAATGGTTTTGTAGGTACCAGCCTGTCATGGTTTTATGATTTGTGGTTGTTGGTAATCCACATCATAACATCATACACAGATTGCCTGTATTTTATGTTGCCTCTATGTACATCCAGTATTTTGCAGAAGTTCTTGATATGTATTTCATTGCTCTCAAAAGTTTTAAGCACTGGGCTGTATTTCCTGAAATAATACCTAAAATAAGTGGTAGGTTGCCCAGTACTTCCAGTAACCAAAAATTCACATATGATTGTTTGTATATTTAGGTTGCAGGGGCACTAAGGTGTTGATAATGTCCATCGAATCCGTATTCATTTTAATCTCTGGGCTGGCTTTTTCTCCTCTTCCCCATTTTGCCTCTTCAGGAAGATCTTAATAAGAGTGTTTGACTTTCAATAAAAGGCTAGTTTCCTTGTAAGATGATGATGTTTTTATCTAGATATATTTTTTTCTTCTAATAGTTTATCACTAGATGGTTATAGCTGCAATACTTTTCTTCATGGAAATAAGCTACCTATGTCATGTTTTGATTACAAGGCAATAAGGTTATCTTGTAACGCCTGCTTTGCTCTCCTTCTCTCTGGCCTCGTCTCTGACCTTGACAAGAAATAGATCCAGTTTCAAAAGATACCACAAAGGTTAGGAAGATTTGCATAATACAAAGCATCTGTGGTTGAGTTTTCCTAAGGGAAAAAAAGACTTCTCCACAAGAATATGCATTTAAATTGTAAAAAGTCAGTGACTGTGGGGGCACCAAATCTGTTGAACCCAGGGTACTGATGGAGGGCTCAAAAATGTTGTTAGACTTGTGACAGAGTTCTTGAGGAAAGCAAGTGATAACGCTTAAACACTGAAGGGAGCTTTTATGAGATAGCTAATATTATAAAAGGTGTATTTGCTCTATACAGATAAATCGTGATGTTTGTAATACTTGATCACACAAAAATGCAAAATGTGCTTACTACAAACTTTATGAACATAATGACATTGTTTTTGTCTATTAATTGAGTATAAGGTAGTATTTATAACTGAGTAGACTTGCCTGGATGAAAGCTGTTTTCAGTTTCTGAAGTTGATTAGTTAAGTCCATTTAAGTCCTTGTGTGAACACTTTACTTCCAATTTAAGTTACTAACTGTCCACTTACTTCATGTTTATTTTTCTGAATTTCCTTATAAAGCAGTTTGTGTATTTTTAATACGTGCAAACTACAATAAAAATGTGAGTAATACGTTATCAAGCTCATTTTGTAGGGTTTTTACATTTTATTAGATATACTCATTTGAACAAACTGATTGTTTAATAAAAGTTAATTATAAAGTTGTTGAACAATATTGCTAATTATAAAATTATGTACAGGGGTTCTGGTCCCTATAAGCACGCGCAGATGGCTAAGAATTATAGTCTAAACTTCTTTACTCTGCGTATCAACATGATCTTTGTAGAGGAATTATGTTGTTTGAACATGCTGTCATGTTATATGTGTATGTGATTAAGTGACATTTTAATACACTTGGCATTTGGTTCTTGCCCTGCAGATGCTGCTGAAAAGGAGAAAAAAAATATAAATTACATTAACAACTTTATTGAAGCAATGTTGTTCTGGGAGAAATCAGAATGTGAGAAGAAGGTAAGAAAGCAGTGGTATTCCTAAGTGCATTCTACAGTACTCTCTTGTAGAAGACCAGTGAGCTTATTGAAATCAATTGATATTTATGTTTTATTTTTTGAATAAAAATACTCTGTCCAAAGCTTATAAGCTTCAGTAACAAGGAAACGAGTCAAATAGCATTTGAGATAAAATCTTTCATCTCAAATTCAGACAAGCTATAAGCATTCCTAATATGATTAGGTTTAGGATGTGATTTTTTTTTTCATTAAAAAATTTGAACAGGAAAACAAACTTCCGTTTCACTTAATTTTAAGGGCATCTCAGAGCATTTGGATCAACATTGTGTTTTTGATGCAATCCTGCCAGTCATTCATTTTGCTGTGCTCTAGTTCATGTCATGGTGCAGTGCTGGATCATTAAAAATTGATTGTTTTTGGAAGAAACTAACTAAAAGAGACGTTCTAGGAGTGCACATGATGTGCTTCCCTGTCTGAACATTTAGTCCACGGAATCACATTGGAGCTGCTTCTAAGTAAACTTTTTCAATTCACATAGTGTGGAATTTGACTTTTGGGTGTGAGCTGTTACTCTGAACAGATCTGCTCCAAACGAATGATAGTTTATGTATTTCTAGAAATTATCATGAGCTGAGTTTTGCACGATTCATATGTAGGTGATGTTTAAACCTTAAATTAATCTGGTATAACTATCACTTCTTCATTAATCTATGTATGTACTTTCTAAGAATTTACTAGAAAGAATTGCTCAACTAGAAGACTTGTGTGCCAAGAAGGAGAAATTCATTCAGTCCAATAAAATGATAGTCAAATTTCGTGAAGACCATATTGTTCGCTTGGAGAGACTGCATAAAGAAGCTGGTGGAAGTTTATTGCCAAAAGAGCAAGAAGATCTCCTCAGTGAATTGAGGGAGGAATTGCAGACACTCAGAGAACAGGCAAGTCTTGTGGTTGGCTTTTTTTTTTTCCTTTTTAGAAAAAATTTGTTTTGTGAGAATGGCTCACTTGATAGAGTTGTGAGATGGATGGATTCAACCAGTCTGGGAAAGACAGGAAAAAAGGGGACATAAAGTGCTGCCTCTTTATGTAAAGAAGCACCTCAAAAACCATAGCACCTTCCTTCTCTCCATTGGAGGGTGCTATGGGTGGGTTTAAGAGCCTGAGTGTTTGCATAAGCAAGTCTAGTAAGGGAGATGTTGTGGTGGGAGTATGCTGCAGGCAGTACTATTGAAGTTAGGTAGTAGAGGACCCAGTCTGCTCTAAGTGACTCTGAGATCACAAATACTCATTCTGAGGAAGAACCCTCCTGACATCTGCTGAAAGAACAAGGCAGCGGGGTGCAAATAATGCAGGAGGTGTCTCAGTGAAAATAATGTAGATGTTAGATGGGCCAACCTGGGGTTTTGCTTGAGGAAAGGAGACTTCAGATTATTGATGGATATTATTTGTGAGGCAGCTCTGGAGAACAAAGAAACTAAAGAGAAGATAGATCTTTAAAAATAGCTTATTCCAAGTGCAAGAATATTTCAATAGGTAGGGAAAGGAGTAGCAATTGTATAAGAAAACTAGCTTGAATCAGTCTGAGTCTCGTAACTGAGCTTTAACTGAGAGGATGGGGAAAAATACTAGTACAGAAATCAGGTCAGGCATTATTAGATGTGTACAGTGTTGTAGTGTTGTCTGTAAAATAAAAACCATTGAAAAAAAATAATGCTTATCACAGATGGAACAACACCCACGAATTGCCAAGTATGCCATGGAGAATCATAACCTCAGAGAGGAGAATAAAAGACTTCGTTCTCTACAATCAGTGAAAAAAGCCCAGGAAGTTGACGCTCAGACTGTTGCAGAACTAGAAAAGGCTTTTTTGCAAGCTTCAGCCACAGAGAAAAATACTGGAGGTAAAAATATGCTGAAGTGTTTGAGCTAAATAAGCTTACTGCATTTCTGTTCTGTGCAGAGTAGTGCTGGAAATGTCTTGATGTGTGGGTTTTTTTTCTTTTGTCACAGTGATACTTGAAGACTTGAATAAAACAGGTTTAATTTGCTTTGTTTGTGTTGGCCTTCTTGCCAGTACAGCTGTAGGGTATTTGGATTCATTTTAATCTTATGCATACCATCGCTAATCTTATTCTGTTTCCTTATCTCTATCATGGGAGCTCTAGTAATGTTTATTATTCTAGTGGTTGTCACGTGGGCTGTAGCTGATACCTGTTTTGTTCAATCACTGTTGTGTTCAAAAGTCTGCAACTGAATGCTTGCATTTGGGTAAAAGTTAAGATATTTGAGGTACTCCGCGATTTCAGAGGGGCTGTTCTTGTTCTTTAGGTCAGCACGTCTATTCTAGCACCACATTAGCCGAAGGCAACTCTCTGGCATCTGTTGAGAAGCTGAAAGCACGCCTGCTACAAACTCAGAGTGAACTGGCGAGTTCAAAACAAGAATATGAAGAATTTAAAGAGCTAACCAAGTGAGACAAAACAGTATAGAAATGTCTTCAGTGAAATGCTTTTAATTACTTTTCTTTTTTAAAGTGAGATTCAGATCCTGGATATATAAGAACGTATTCTTTGTATAAAAGATTCAGAAAGATGATATACACACAGAACCTGTTCCAGTCAACTCAGTTACTCCCAGACAGACATACCTGTAAAGCAATCACTGCAGCGCAGACATACTTTCAGATGCATTGTCTTTCCAAAAGCTTTTCCTTGTGCTAAGAGGCAAAATTGCACTTCACAACATGCCAGTTTTGCACACGTCTTTGAATCACCTCAAGTCACCTGCCTCTTGGAACAAGGATCTTGGCTTAGTCACTGTGTTGAGGAAGTGTTTACAGTAACTGAAATACTACAGGTGGAAACAGTGACAGGAACCAGTGCCTGATTGCTTTTCAGGAGTGGGAGAGATTTTTTTGCTTGTTGTATTTTAGTGCTACAAGATTTTCACATAACTTCTGCAAGGTTGCAGGTGGGAGTCATTATAAATGTAGAATCCAAGCATTCCAGAAAGTTTTTACTAATCTGTTAATATTCATCTCCACTTCAAATATTTTTAAGAAGGTGATAAAACCACCATCCTGAGATTTGTTACTGGAGAAGTTTTAATTCAAACTGGAACAAAGGGATGGTGTCAGTAGTTTATTAATGTCCATTTGCTGTGACATCTGAAATGAGATATGGGTCTCTTACTGACACAGGAAAAAGTTTACTGTTAGTTTTTGTCTTGAAGTCAGCACAAGATGAAAGGCCTGCATAATGCTTTCAGATTTTTTTGTTTTTATAAATATATATATTTACATTCCAGTGAATAATACATGGCTTATCTTGATCAGTTCTGTTTCTGAAAAATTCAGATCCTGTGACTACCGGATCTGATGCAAGGCACAAGAAAACCGAGTTCAGAGAACGTAATATCAAACTGATATTACGTTCAAGTGCAAGAGAGACCTGACCTTTTTGTTTTTCATCTTGTGTCTAATACTGTTTTGCAATGACCTAGAACTGATTTTCAACGTGGTGCTTCTAGAATTAACCTTTTCAGTTTTGATTTTTTTTTTTGCAAAGCAGCTTTATAATATGCACTGTGCATTCAGACAATTGTACAAATTACATTTAGATTTGAGTGTGGTAAATCCTATGACCTTTGTATATCATAATGTAACAATCTACTGAGTCTATCAATTCAGCAGTGCATCTGTTGTCCAGTATCACTGATTACAGAGTTTTATTCTTAACTTCACATCAGTTCATTTTCCTGCCCATGCAATATATTTTTATCTTTTGTATTCAGAGTTTTGTGCATGTCTTGATTTCTTTATAGTACATACATGTTAGCAATTTCAGGCAGTTTACCTGGTGAAGTCACACACTTTTGAACTCAATGGAGTTGAGACCTCTGGACTTACTAAATGTTAAACTTGGTTCCAGTTTTAGAGTAACTGGATGCTTTATTTTGCATCCAAGTGATGACTGTGAGCTGCAACTGAATAAACAGAGCAACACTTAACAATTTTGCAAAAAAACAATCTCTTAATTTTTCTGCTGTCTCTTAGCAGTCAGAACTGAAGTTCTACTTCGTTCCCTCTGTTTCATTGCAGAAACTCATATTACATGCAAAGTTACAGCATTAAACTGCCAAAAGATGAAATAGCACGTTTCCTTTTGTCTGTACACTTTGACCTTACAATCATGTCAGTAAGGCCAACAGTCACAGTAATACCTTGTAGGTCTGCAAAATACCTAATGAAAATTATTCCTAAACTTCTGCTCAACTGTTGGATTTGAGTTAAAGTGTTTCTGTAAGGCAAAATAATCTTAAAAGAGTAGCATTTCCAGAGGAAAAAAAAAATATCTTTAAAGGATTTTCTTTAATCCTGGCAAGCACCAGTTCAGACTTCTTGTATAACTGGATAACATTTTTAAAGCTTAAAACCATCTTGGTGGGGGTGATATCACTTCCTCATAAAAGGAATTGCAGAGTGCTCAGCTTATTTCCTACCGTGTAATGGATTTTTTCTGACAAGTTTAGTTACCCATCTGTCTTCTTCGTTATGAAAGCACAAATAAACTTCTTAGCTTTTCAATTTATTCTTTTAACACAACATAAAGCAATTATGACTTTCTTCTCAAAGAAAAAAAAAAGTACTTCCATCTTTGCCCAAGAGTACAGTTTCAGTATGATGCTCATTGGCAATGCTGCAGCTTATTCTTACTTATGGAAGCATATTCATCAAGAGTTTTTGACTCTGTATTTGTATTTTTTGTATTAAAATGCTTTCTAAACAGGAAAAAGCATATGGAACTGGAATCAGAACTTCAGTCCTTACAGAAAGCAAACCAGCACCTTGAAAACATTTTGGAAGCGACCAAAGCACACAAACGCCGAGAAGTGTCTCAGTTGCATAAGCTGCATAGAGAAACTCTTAAGGTATAATTTCTTTAAAGCCATGCGTACTTAATTCTAAGTCATGTGAGAACATTGGCCTTCATTTCTAGGATACCTTAGCCTCACTACAGTAATCTATACACAATAAACTAGGAATGCTGCTATTTGTTCTGAACTATTTCCTTCGTTATTTCCCGCTCTAATCAGGTGACGAATCTGAAAGTGTAGTGGTTTAGAACTAAGTGACTTTGCAATATATAATATATATATTAATATATATATATATATATGCAACACTAGAGAAAGCTTAGGTCCTTACTGCAGTTAAAATAAGGATTGTTATGAAATGTCCATAACAGAACATAACTACTCCAACAAAAGCGTACCAGCTGAGGTCTCGCCTCGTGCCACGGATAAGCCCAGAGATCTCAGATTTTCACTGTGAAGATTTTGAGTGTTGCAAAGAGACGATGGATGACATTTTTAAAGAGCCTGTTCCCCCAGAGATGAATGAACAAGCATACGAGGCCATTGCAGAGGAGCTCAAGGTGGCACAGGTGAGTATTTGAAACAAAAAGTGGAAGTAAGTGAGTTAACTTCATAATAAAGCAAGTTTGGGCATGAAGTAACTCCCCCACCAAATATATTTTGATGAGCGTAGGAAACTAAAGCGTGTGATGAATACTTAAGCTATCACTGAAATGTTGTCTAATTACACAATGTACTTAAGAGGGATTACACTGAAAGTATTGAAAGGGATTTGGGAGTTGTATATCTTAATCCTAGATGAAGCTGAAATTTGCAAATTGCTGTTATGTAGAAAAAAAATGCATAGCCATTTCCTAAACTGTGATTTGAGATAAGCAGGATACTTAACCTTTCACTGTTCTAGCCTGGTACCTCCTATCTAAAGAATCTTCCTGATAAGTGTGAAATGACTATGTTTGGAACAAACCCCAAGCATAATGTAAAATACTGCATTATTTGAAGAAACCTGCCAAATATTGCTTGCCATAGAAGAGTGTTACATTGTTACCTGAAGAATTGTCTAGAAATGGAACTAATTTTGGTGCTTGTAAAATAGACAAAAATCAAACCAGCATGCATGACAGCCAAAACTTTGTGAACGGACAAAAAGAAATGGATCTAGTCAATATTTTGAATAATGTCATTTTTAAGTCTTAGATCTCTAAGACGAATGTGCATCTGAGAATGAAACACACATGTAAGTGCTTATATGATTAGGTCCTTGTTCTCACAGATGGATTTTCTTGTGCTCTGGCAGTCTAGTTGGCAATAGGAGAAATCAACTACTGAAGTTACCAGTTGATTTTTGGATGTTCTTTTTACTGTTCGTTCAGGTCATTAAAAAAAACTTTGTATTTAATACACACACATTAACATATGGCCCTTAAGAGTAACTGAAAGATGAATGTTCTAATTTGGAATGTCTTTTGTGTCACAGGAACAACTGAGCACAATGCAGACAAAGCTGGATGAAGAGGAAAGCAAAAATATAAAACTCCAGCAACATATTAATAAACTGGAACATCATTCTGCACAAGTACAGGAGGTGAGAAATCAGTACAGTGAAGGTTTATGTTTGAGTGATATCTACCACACTGAAGCTACTGTCTTTTAGTGAGGTCAGAAGCATTACTTGAATTTTGACTTTTGAAAAAAAAAAAAAAAAAGTAGCATCATAACTGTACAAAAAGGCAGGAACTACAATTAAAATAGCAGCACAGCTTAAAAATAATTAATAAATAGGTTGTAATTCTGAGCCTGCTGGATCTTAAGCTAAAACATAAGCAAATAGACAATCAGGATGTCAGTGCTTGTTTTTGGCCAACTTCATCATTTCTGAAGAAACAGAAAGGAGTCACCAAAATTTTGAACTTCAGAATGCTGAATATATTGCTTTCCTCAGTTGGAAACGAGCTGAAAAGTCATTTATATATGGAATACTTACAAGTCTTCCTTAATCTAATACGAAAAGGAAAAACAAGGCTTGTAGTCCTTTATCTGATAAACCTCTTTTGGAGTAGGCTTCAGCTCTCAAGCTGTGCATTACTTCTAAATGATCTTTTTCCCTTTAGAAAAAGTAGCTTCTTCACTTATATTGAAGTATTTTTTCTTGAACTTCTATTGATTTCAGATTCACCTGCATCAAATTGTATTTATGATCAGCTAATGAGCAATTCTAAAACGTTGTTACAGCTCTGTGACTTAACCTGCTATGTTTATTTTCATTTAAATTTTTTCTACCTCTCCAGCTTCTTTCATCTGAAAGGAATGACTGGAATAAGGAGCGTGAGGAGCTACTTGAGCAGATAAAACTGCTTGAAAAGCAATTTCAGGATGCTCAAAGCAAGGCTGATAGTAAGTCTGTGGAACACTGAAATTCCAATTGAAGTTTTGAGGTTGTCTTCATGTTATGAATCAACAGCAGTACATGCTGAGTAACTAATTTGGTTTAAGATTTCAAATGTCACACAGGTTTGATTTAAAATAAATCTCTAATAGCTGCAGAATAGCCTTTTCTCTGCTCAGTTTTCTGCAGTATGCAGTTTTGATGAGTGTTCTCTATTCATTCTGATATGAATACAGTACAGGATGCAGTATTTTTAAAAGAAAATGTGATCCAAAAATCAAGGGAAATCCTTTGGCAGTGTAAGGAAGTACAGTGATTTCTGATGGAATTTGTTTGATTCTGCCTTTTTCAAAATCAATTATTGACTTTTCACATCTATTTTCTTTCCAGTATTAACAAGTGAAGTCCATGACTTACGCATTGTCCTGCAGTCTGCAGACAAGGAGCTGTCTGCTGTAAAACAGGAATATAGAGCCTTTAGGGAAAAGCAAGAGAAGGAAATGAGTCAGCTTTCTGACAGACATATGGATGTACAGTTCAAGCTGGACAGTGTCAGGTATGTTGGCAGTTTGGTAAAATGTCTTAACCTTCCTCCTGAATGCATCTTCTATCTGCAAACTTGTGCTTTACATTTCTTAGACACACAAAAAGCAACTTTAAATGTTCTTTTTTTTTTTTTTTTTCTTTCCCCCAATTCTTTTCAGATGCAGGGTGGAACATGATGAAATTAGCAGGAAGATAATTAAATAGGCTTCCTTCATTTTAGTTTTCTTATAGCATTTTCCCATTTAGTAGGAGATATCCAGAAGCTTAAAATAAGTAGAGTGGGTTTTTTTAAAACCAAATCTTAAAAATTAACTCTCATTCCACTACCTGTTCACATGATGCAGCTGACAGAATGATGCTGATCTAAAAATACAAACAGAAAGAAAGAAACAACAACCAAAAAAGAAACCAAAGCTTGGCTGTTGAAGTCAGAACTGTTCTAATAACCACAGAGTTCTTTGTCCAGCTGTTGGAAAAACAAAAAAAAAACAACAACAAAAACATGTCTGAACACTGATATCAAGATTAGGTGACTGAAATTTCTATAGAGTTTAGCAAAAAAATGATTTCTAGGGATCAGAAGCAGCATTCTGCCTTCTCTGCTGGTGCCATCTAAATTTCCTATTTCATAAATATGGGGTTTAAAAAGAAGCTCTGTCACAGTCACTTGTTTTGAAAATAACTGTACTTTGTGGATTCACTGAAGCTTGTAGAATACAATGGGTTGGAATGTTTTTATAATGAAACAAGCTGTTAACACTGTGGGTGTTGTTTTCTTTTTTAAATAAAGGCTAGAATATGAAAAGAATCTTGAAGAAAAAGCAAGCCTTCAGGATGACTATGACAATTTGCAAGAAGTGACAAAGTTTGAGACAGATCAGCTGAAGCAACAGCTTGAAGACAGACAACAAGAAACTGAAGCAATGAAAACTGAGCTCTACGTAAGAAAAAGCTCTTAGACTATGTTATACAGTTACTGATATGGGCAAATTACCTAATTCCTGTTGTGATATCACCAATAATAACTTCCACAGTAATAATAGGCTTCCTAGCATTCTCACACAGGCAAAACCAAAGGGTTTTCTTTAAAAAAAATAGGACAAGATTGTAGCAAATGCAGAAGAAGAAATGATCCAATACCATGATGTAGTAGCAGATTTTTTGGCTGAATAAATTCCTCTGGGAATTTTAAAGGAAATAGGTCAGTTAGTAAATGGATAAGAAACTGCTTTGGGAAAAGAACCCTGACATCTAAACAGCAGTCTGTCTTAGTGCTAGCTAAAATGAGTTTGTGTATCCCTTCTTGGAAAAAAAGAGTTTGCTTTGTCTAGTGGATGTAATTTTGTTCAAATGTTTTAGGATTCTTGTGGGGAGTTGCTGTCCTGCAGTTTAGTTGATGCTGTCCTTGACAGACCATCAGACTGCAGTGACTGCAAAACAGCAATAAGGTTGCTCAAGGGCTTTTGTAAATGATATTTCCTGGTTTTGTGCAGTGTGTGCTGTTACAGCAAACTTGCTGAGTAGGCAAACATTTCTCTTTGGGTGTCTAAAGGAATACTAACAGATCGAAAAAACGTGATATTAAATTACTCTTGGTGAAACATCTTGAATTGCTGGTTAAAATTGGAAACAACTTCTCCTTTCTTCTATTAATCTATACTGGAAAATTCTTATTTCCCCTTTAATAATGTGGATATTGAGGAACATTACAGCCATAGGGTATTATGGCAAATGAGAAGAGCTGATTCCTAATCATAACTAAGTCTTTACTTTAGCCTTTTCCTGGACCAATTCTAAACATCTTTCCAATTAGGGTTCTGTGGGGTTTTTCCCCCCCCAGTTATTTTTTAGTAGTTGTTCAGAATTTTAAGTTATTCTAAAAGCCTTCTTTTAACTTCTTATAATGAGAAATATTTCTGTGTTCTAGAACCTACTAAAACTCCTGGAAGTAGAAAAAGAACATAATCAGAAGCTAAGATTACAATTACAAGAAGACAAAGAAAATTCAAAGTGAGTTTTACATCCTTGTGTCCTTTATCTTCATCTAACTTCATTGTTTTGCCCTATGCTAGGTTTTATCCAAACTATGTAAAAATGAGGTATTTTCATTCCAATTAACATTGCAAATTTTCATTGCCAGTAAAGTTCTTCACATTGAAGGTAAATTTGTCTGGTAACTTAACTATTAGTCCAGATAGTGTGATAATTAGTATGATAATGAAAAGTACTTTGTTTTTTTTTTCCCCAAACTTCTTTAAGTGCAGATGAGAATAACCATACATGACTTGATTCTTGTAAAAGCTCTCTGTTCCAATTATATTTCCCATGAGAAATATTTTTTTCTTTTCTGCAGAGAGCTCTTGAAAGTACTTGAAAAAGCACAAGTGGAGAAACCGTCATCTGAAATGCTGACACGATGTGAACAGCAGGTACAACAGCAGAACTGAATGACTAAGTCAATTTTGATGGATTTCTGTGTATGTTAATAGCAAGTCTGTTGGAGAGCTGACTGTTAGATTATCAGCAAAATAAATTTAGAGTTCTCAAATTTTAGATTGTTAAGCTACTCTTAACTTTTCTGCTAAGGTAAACAGCTTAGTTTCTCACATTTTTTATTCCTGGCTTTGTGCTTAAAGTGTGTTTCAAAAGTAACTAAGTCTCTTCATAATATTATTTCTTCTAGGATGAAAAACTGCAGAAATTAGAACAGGAGTTGGCTGCTGCCGAAGAGGTTATTGTTTCTTTGAAGAAGACAAATGATGCAGATAAGGTTTGTGTTTATTTCTGGTACTGCTACCTAGCTTTGCAGGTAGCTCTATGCTCTGTTTTAAAAGCTCAGAACCTTTCTATTATACTTGGTAATTCTGTGATTGTAGGCAATTCTGGCTGTATATTTAGGTAAAATACATCCTACCACTTACTGGCATTGAGCCTGTGGGGTGGCAGGAAATTAATCTGCATTCGGGGAAAATGAAATAACCAAAGGGGGAAGAAGAGAGCAAAGGTTAAAGCTCTCTGCTGGACAAAGCATCCTATGTGGAAATGATGCACAGATCCTCTGCTGAAAAGATGGCTTTGGGTTTTGAAAGCACAAATTGCAGAAGCTCCCACAGCACAAGTATTTATGCTGTATGTAAAGCAGTAGTGCTTTTATTACTCGAGCTCTTACTAGGAGATACACACATTATACACTTAAAGGTTTTCCATGCTAAAAAAATAAAAATTAGAGATCAGAAGAATCTGGTATTGGTGGTGAGTGGTGTTTCTTGAATGCATCTTTTTACTTTACAAATAAAAATAAACAAATAACGTAACCTTAAGCTACAGTACAGTGAGAAGCACATCACAGCCTGGGTATAAGTCTCTTATAATAAACACAGCAGATTATTTAATACTTTATATAACTGCATAGGCAAAAACAAAACTTCAAGAACTTATTTCCTGTTACTCATTTACGTGTGTATTTTGGAGCCTCATTTTCAAATTTGAAATTTGTTTGAAGTTTGGTATTGACAAAATATCCACCAAAGCAAGTTCAGTAATGAGAAGCATGTGTATATATTATTTATGCATGTATTTTATACATGTATTTTATTTTTAATGTAAGAAAAAATGTCTCCAGATTAACCTTTTTTTTTTTATGTTGCAGGAAGTTGTAACTGACTTAATGAGACAGATCCAGGAGTTGAGGTCTTCAATTAATCATAAAACTGAATCCATAGATGGGCTAACAAGAGAGCTGGAGGATATAAATGTATGTTCTGTCATTTTGAAGGACATGGTGTCGTTTCTCAGAAATGGAAGGCAATGACATGTCTTATCATGGGTCTCAAACAGCATAACTTGCTGTAGTGTTTTAGAAAGAAACTTCTTTGTTTTGACATGTTGAAATCTTCTGAACATTTTATGCCTAAGGCTGTCTTGAAAACTGAACTCTTTCCACGTGGTGGGTAAAGAGCAGTGTCTCTAAGGGGACCTATTCACATCCTGTAAACTGCACTCAGCTGACAGTCACATTTAGATTTTCTCAGAAAATGGTGATTTCAGACATGAGCAACTGAAGCAGAATTGTAAATTCATTGGTGAGGAAGTTAATTTTCATGTAGCTGAGATAACTATCTCCTACATCAAAAAAACACAGCCCTGAAGTGTTTATGTGAATATTAATAAACATTATATGTCTTTGTTATGAAACTATTTCGCTTGCAGACTGATAGAGTGTAATCCATGACACAGTTCATTGACATACAGCTCTAAATGCTGTGTATCAGCATGTATCAGCATGCTATGACAAAATGTTCATGAGAACAATTCCTGTGTATGGTTACACATTTTTATCAGTAATTATTTTGGCAGTTAATATGTATTAATTTTCCTATTGTTCTGACAGCTCATTTTTAACATATTGTTTGAACAATTTAACTAGTCACTGATTTAAGCAATTGATACAGATGAGATTTTTAAGCATTTTGTAGTTGTTATTATAAGGATGTGTGATAGGCACACACTTATTCTGCATTTGCCAACTTGCTTTTATAACAGGCTTTCCTAAAATCTTTAAATTGAATTTAATTTTTTTCTTAGTGCAAGTATAATTTTGTTCTGGCTGCAAAAGAAGAAAGCAAAGGAATCATAGAGGATCAGGAGAAGAAGATTGAAGAACTGAGGGAAGCCTTGGAGAGAAGACAAATGGCAGATAATGTTGAGGTAAAAACATTCATGGTGATGTGATGATTATTTAACAGATTAATCAGATGTGTTTTTTGCCTAACATACTTGTGTAAAACTTGACATCATTTCAGTTCAAAATAAAGCTGGTTAGGCTGCTCTTAAAGGAATTTTTAATGAGATACCTGACAAATTCTGTTAAATTATCACATTACTTGACATAAATATTTTATAAGCTACTTCATTAGAAACCTATGCTGAAAGTCTGGTTTAATTTTGTTAAGGCCACTGAGGAGTCATCAGCTGAATTTAATGGTAATATTAGATGATGCAGCTGAGAAATTAAAGAAGGTAGAAGAATACATTATGTTCAATATTCTCTTCCCCCAGTAGCTACTATATTCAATGACTTCTTTACTCATAATTTTAAACTAAAGCTCCACCTGCTGGGAAGCAATTTAGTTAGGTTGCATAGTTGATTTGAGTACAGCTTTGCTTTTTGAAATCTTCTTTCTTTTTAATTTAGTCTTTCCTGTTACTGCTGTCCCCATTATTCTGGTAAACACACCCTTCAGGCAAAGCCACCAATCTGTCCTTAGAAGGAATTTCAGCTTTCACAAGATAATCAATCGTATTACATAGGTGTAGTCCTATCAGTAAAGTCCACCAGAGCAGTGGTGAGCCTGCTTCTCAAAAGCCACTCTTAAATAGATTCACTAAGTTTAATAAGCAGGTTATCTTCACTAATAGTGTTATCTAAATGTAACATTATGAAATCCTAAACCAAGTTGCTGGCCAAATGAATCACTTTTTGTTTTGCCACTTTAAACAAAAATAGGATGACAGATGTACTGTCATCCTGGAGCATATCTATCTACTGATGGAAGCATAGTTTCCCATTCTTGGACTTTGTACATCATTCATTAGCTTTGTTCATTTTTTTTTGATGAACAGGAAAATCCCATCAGTTGTAATCCAAGGTGGTACCTAAAATACTAAGAACTGTTTCTTCTTCCAGATTAGCATGCTTAGTGGAAATACTGATGCCCCATCATATCGGGGATGGGAGTCTAGATCCTAGAACAAATTCAGAGGTGTCTACACAACAGCAATGCATTAGAAAGGCTGTAATTGCTGATTGAGCATTTCTCTACATTTTTTCTAGTTAATTATTTACAGAGTTGTATCTAATTTTTCAGTATGCATTATTCTTAAAAAAAAAAAAAACAAACAGCAATTGATGCTAAATATCTCCCATAAGTATCTAAGCACAGCTATATTCTCTGTAAGTTCTGTGATCAAAATCAAGGATATGGAAAACTTGCCAACGTAAGAAATTTACAGGTGAATGCTTGACAGAGTTCATAAAGGAAACATGGAAGAAAAGGGCAGATGCATTTAGCTGTTCTCACTGCTGTTAAGATTGATAAAACATCTTGAAGAGGCTGCTTTAGAGTAGTAACTTTGTTTCCTTCTTCTCTCATCCACTGACTTAAAAAATAGAGAGACCTTCTTTGTGAAGAATTGCATCATACCTCTGATCAGCTGATAAGACTGACAGAAGCCTCTAAGAAACATGATGCATTGCTTCAGTGTGCACAGCAAGACATAACAGAGAAAGAAGCTTTAATCCAGGAACTCAGAGAACAGGTGAAACAAGGAAAATCTTGTGATAATTGGCTTCTTGGGAGTGGGTTATGACTGACAGTAACTTCTGGAGAATATTTTACCTGTAATTTTGGAATACCTTGTACACAGCCTTCCTGAACAACAAACACTTCTTATTGCGAATCAAAGCAGTTGTTCAAAAGCTTTTGAGCAAAGGATAAGTAACCTTTAAATATTTTGGAAATTGTATCTGGAGATCAGCTTCAAAGAAAAATATTTCCATCTGAGCAATTGTCAGTATGCATGATGATGGAGAAACCTGAGGTGATACAGACTAGGGGGTTACTTTCTGCTCTTACCCACAAACAGGATCATTATGTAATGGATAGTTGAGTTCTGTGTATGATGCTGTCTGAATGATTTTGGACCTTTGCAGACCAATAGCCTACCTACATTCAGGCTTCATCCAGATTTTAACTCTAATTGCCATAACTATTACAGTGCCAATTAATATAGCTGTGTTGGCAAAAACTCTACTGGTGATACATTACTTTGGAAAAGAATCATTTCATCTCGTTGGCATGTTCTCTTTGAGGAAATTGTCTATAATTATCAGCATAATATTTGTATCAGATTGTGTTTTGACCAGTTACACCTGCAAAGTTCAAATTAGCTACACATTATATATATTATATATGTTTCCAAAAAACACTCCTGTGCAACTGTCAAATGATTAACAGTAAATAGGTGAACGTGGAAAGCAATCATGAAAGCGATGTCAAATATAGTATATATTAACATGTATTTGCCTTGCTCAAAATAGGGATATGGTTGCTGTTTTATTTCATGTTTTGTGACTATTCTGAGCTAATTTAATTCTACTTGGGATTTCTAATAGTTGGATAAGATGACAGAAGAACTAGAGAAGAGGAAGAGTGAATATGAATTCAAAATGAAGCAAATAGATAGCTTTTTCGTGGACTCATCTACAGTAACGTTTCCTCAGGTATGACATTTCTAAGAGAAACATTTTCATTATAGTGACTATTAGAACTCAGTGAAAAGGATTTAATAAACTTTACTACACCGTGGTGGGAGCAGAAAATACAGTGTATCTAAGAGTAGTCAAATCCTATCTGCCTTGTTTGTAGCTTTTATATATTATTGATGATGTTTTCTGCCAGGGATCTGTTAATCTGTGTTCTCCTATTAAAGCACATCACCAATACACAGGAGAAAACGGGGGACTGGACCAGATGATCTTTTGAGGTCCCTTCCAATCCCTGACAGTCTGTGATTGTGTGAAAACTGTTCTTGATTAATTATTTTGGGTCATTTTTGTTTTGCTTTTTACCCTTCCAGTGTCCAAAAACTCCCCCTAATTTTGATGTGAATCTGGCAAAAATCTTAGAGACTCATGAGCAAGAAATAGCCGATAGGAGGGCTTCTGCAATCACTCTAGAGCACCTTGTACATGAACTGAATGAAGAACGAAGAGCTAAAAATGATGAGATTCTACGGCTGAAGGTACTAGGAATTAAACTCTGTCATCAATTTTTAAGATTACAGTAAGACAGAGTTCAGATTTTTAATGAGCTCTGCTTATTAGCTTGTCTATTAATGCAGGAAGGCAGTTCTTGGTCTTCTCTTCAGCTTGTAACAAACATTGACAACTTGCTTGAGAAGTCCCTGTGTCTTGCCTTCCCTAAGGAATGAGTGGTTTCCTTTCATGAGTGTCAAATGGTAGCATTGTCTTTAGTAATGGAACTGTTCTGACTTCTAAATCAAATTACTAATGAAGCTGTGAATTGAAAGGTCACGCAGATCTCTGCCAGAGGACTGTGCTTATTTTTGGAGAAAGAGCTTTGTCTTCTATTTTACTCAGACAGGAATCTCCATTTGGTATTCATGTGAAATGTTTTCAATCTCACTTGCTTAGGAGCAATTAAATGAACTGGAGAGCTTACGTTTGGAGATGCAGATATTGGTGGAAAACAACAGGAATTTACAGAGTCAACTTACAGAAGCTCAGAAACTAAGCAAGAACAGGTAAAGGAAAATAAAAAGAAGTCTTAACTTGAAGCAATTAAGTACAATAAACTGAAATATACTGTTTTTATTTAAAATACAATCTCATGTATTGCTTATTTAGAGATTGACTCAGCCTTTTCTGTGAAAATCAGGTACTGACTTTAAATCTTACTAACTTTAAATCATAAATTATAAGACTTTGTTGCACTTAATGTGGGAAATACAAAGGAAAAAGCATCTAAAATAATTATACAAGTAGCCATTACAGTGTATTATATATTGTCACATTACTTGAAGTCTTAGAGATTCAGTAGATATGGAATTGTAGAATGGTCTGTGTTGGAAGGAACCTTTTAAGATCATCTGGCTCCAACCCCATGCTATAGGCAGGGACATCTCCCACTAGACCAGATTGCTTAAAGTCCCACCCAGCCTGGCTCAGAATGCTTTCAAAGAGGGGCATCCACAACCTCACTGGGCAACCCGTTCCAGTGTCTCACCAATCTCACAGTAAAGAATGCCTTCCTAATATCTAGTTTAAGCCTACCTTCCTCCATTTTATAGCCATTTTCCCCTCATCTTGTTGCTACATGACATTATAAAAAATCCCTCCCCAGCTTTCCTGTAGGCCCCTGTATAATCAATGAATATTAAGACATTATAATTACAAAATAAACAAGAGAGTTAAGCAAAGCAGATTATAATATCAAAAAGAGAATAGATAGAAAGCTTACCTGTATCCTAGGCTCATTTACAAAACTCCAGCAGAGTAGATCTCCAGAAGAGATCCTTCCACACTGGTAGCCAGCTCTTAAATAGGTCTAGGAGAGGTGCAGCCAGGCTCCACCGCTTCCATCACACAGCTGAATTGCCTTCACCTGTGCTCCTGTGGCTGACCCAGTGCTTGCCTCAGGTGGTCAATCAGAGGCTCAGGCTGTGATTCAGCAGTTCCCATTCGTCCCCCCAGAGCCAAGGATGAAAAGCCCCAGCTCTCTCAGCCTGTCCTCATAGGGGAGGTGCTCCAGCCCTCTGATCAGCTTTGTGGCCCTCCTCTGGATACACTCCAACAGCTCCATGTCCTTTTTGTACTGAGGCCTCAAAACTGGCTGCAGTACTTCAGGTGAGGTCTCATGAGAGCAGAGTAGAGGAGTAGAATCACATCCCTCAACCTGCTGGTCATGCTTCTCTTGATGCAGCCCAGGATACAGTTGGCCTTCTGAGCTGCAAGTGCGTGTTGCCAGCAGCACATGTTACATACATATATATTATATAAACATACATTGCTGTGGAAAACTGAATTATGTGGCTTCATTTTTGACACAGCTGTTGAATAGGTTACTTGGTCCCATTTTCTTTCAGGGAACATCATTGCTTGTATGTTCTTCATTTGCTGATTTCTTGACAGGAAACCTCGAGATGTAATTTGGACAGGCAGTCCCAATTCCCAGCTTTTAGTTGATGGGAGTTGTGGTTTGAATAGAGAGAAGATTATAGGAGCTCTGGAAAAATCAGATTTAGATATTTCAAGTGGGGATATTCACAACAGAGACATGCTTCATACATTGTGGGAAGAGCTGATAGCAGCAGGCAGTCGTTACCTCGTGTGCAGTCTGGTATTAGAAAGCAAGATGCTTTGATCACTGGTGTCACACATCACAAAAAAGTAAGATGCAGAGATCGTGGACTGAATTGGAGAATGTGTGAGAACACATGATGAGACCAAGTGCCTGCTCTCTTCTTGTATTTAACCTTAAAGCAAGGAAGAGTAGTTGTCCAGGAAAGGTGAGTGTTCACCTCTGCAAAACTAAGCTGGAACACTCTCCTCTCATTACTTTTGAGGTAGTATAGGCCATCTAGTAGCCTAGTACTAGAATGTCTCAGCCATTATCAATTATACTGTACCTGAGCTTTTTAAAGTTAAGTATCTAGTGAATGTAAGCAAACAGAGGTGGATGTAGTTCTTTCCAGCCACTTATAAGCTGGCTGAATGTGGCTGAATTTTGGAAGTGGGTGGTTCTAAAATTTGTCAAGGAAAAGCAGTTATCCCAGAAGTTGTCAGACCTTTCCAGTTGGTGTTGAAGTGCTTAAAACAAAACAAAAAAAACACATTTCCCACTCACACACACTCAGTGTGAGGCTGTATACATATGCCAGATACAAACAACAAATAAATTCCCCTAGTTAGGTAAGCTGACAAAGATTTTTAGTTTCTAAAACACTAAACTTTTAAAATTGTGTCAAATTGGAATCATTAATCAGTGAAGTTCTCCCACTTAATGTGCTGAACAGGAATTAAGAGACCCCAGTGGCATGTAGTTTTGGAGTGGTTATTTTAACTTTATAGTGTTTGCTTACTTCCATCCAGTGCCATGTGTAAAGAACAAAATAAGTTTCCAAGCCATCTGAATACAAAAGTTCTAACTTTTTAAGTTGGCAACACCACTGTGCAAGGATCTAGTAGGAAGGAGTTCCTTTTTGCAGACTGCAAGTGAGCACCACCAACTCATAAGACATCTCCCTCAATCCTGAATTTGTTAAAAAATCTGTGTCTTTGTACTCTGCCAAAGGAAAATGAGATGTTCTTGGAATGTAAAATTAATACCCTTCTGGAGTTGTTTTATGACGATGCAGGATTCTGGTTCTCAAGATGCATCAAGACATGATGCAACAGTAGATCTGATTAGATCCAGATTTTAATCTGGATAAACAGTTGTTTTTACAACTGATTTCCTATGTTTGCAAAAATTTTTTCTTGTTCTTGAACCTTCCAGTGATCAGAAACACACTGATGTTCAGCAGCTCCAAGAGAAAGAGGAGGAGATTGCTGAAGAACGACGGGCAAAGGTATCCTCTTACCCTTTTCACGCAGTGGTTGCTGTTTCCCTGTTCTGAAGTATTGCTCATGTTTTCTTCTATTTCATGCCAGTAAAACAAGTATTGATTTTTAGTGGTTTCTACCAGTTCCAGACACTGGTGCTCAGATCATAAGATTTCTATCTCAGTAAAACTTCAGCAAACTGTGTATCAGGTTGCACAATAAGCAAAAACAGATTCAGATAATTAAATCTGACTCATCTTCATGGAGCTGGAAAGTGGAGGTTGTATCACTTGCTAATATCAAGGCTCCACCAAAGGGAAGCTAATGTCACAATAGAAGTTGAAATGGATCAGAACAGGCAGAACTTCCAGCTCTAGCTGTCCTGTGTATGGGCAGAGTGTGGGTCATTTGTGCTGGCATGAAATGGAAATATGTGTGCATAGCCAGGAGGTGAGTTTATAATGAATGTTAGAGATGTAAATTATTGGGTAATGGGATGATTTTGGTAGTGTCTGGAATGAGATATTTGGCATCAGATGAGTGACATCATTTGGGGAAAAAAAAAAAGTAGAATGCATATATATATATATAAGCAATTTAAACATAATGAATGTAACTAATATTTTGCACTTTTACAGAACAAAGCAATGGAGGAGATACTGAAAATCAAAGCAGAGTAAGTTTAATATTACACAGTGAACTGGAGACTTTGTATTAAACTCGTTAATACCAGAAATGTGTGTTTAAGGAGTCAAGTCCATGCCTGAGTTTACAAATTCATTGAGTAACATTGAGTTCTTGCTCTTTTTCTCCAGTAGGTGGTGGTAGCACCTGTTATGACATTTTCCAAAAGGTATCTGAAAGTGTATCAGGAAATGCTCTGAAACAGCTGGAAGCATAAGCAAAGCTTAGATTAGAAGAGACTTAATTTTGAATTGTTTAAAATAATCTACAAGATAAGGTTTTGAACACCTCTATGCTTAGTGACATGTGAGCACATTCCTTTTCAAATGCAACTGAAACACCTCTCATTTCTTTACTAACACTGTAAATATTACATAATTTTAAACTTAATCTAAATGTTCTTACGCTATTTGTTGGGGTTCTGTTGCACTTCAGCTTGAACAACTAAATTACTCATGAGCAGGTTCCTACACTGTGTTTGCACTAATGTGCAAGTAATGCTAGAAATTCAGGTGTGCCGCATCACAGAAAGATAGTAGTAAAGAAATAAAATACAGAATTAGTAGATAAAAACTAGTTTGCAGCTACTCCTCCTGTTATTCTTAGGCTCATCTGTATTGCTTCAGGGACTCATAGCAGCTGAATCTCCTCATATTTGGCTTGCGGCCATCTAACGGCATGTTTCCTTTGTAGACAGCTTATTTTAAGGGAGGCAGAGGTACTGTTTTCTGCTTCGTGAGCGGAGTTGTGAGTCCTGGACTGGAAACAGCCCACTTCCCCAAAAAGAAGAGCGGCTTCAAAACATTGCTCAGCTTTAAGAGATGATGTCAAACGTAGCAGTTGTGCAACGGGATGCAATTTCCCCTTCTGCTAGCGCTGAGTTCTGGGGAAAGCTAAATTCTGTCAAAAGAAAGCCTTTAAAAGTCTGCCTCTGTGTCCAAAGCTGACACAAGTAATTCATCTGTATGCCATTTATGTTGGGTTTTGAATATTTCATGATGCGTTCATATTGGCAGATTAGAAGAGACCAAAAATGCTCTCAGAATCAGAGAGAATACCTGTCTTGAAATGACTCTGGAGATGGAACGAACAAGAGCTTTGGAACTGAAGGCGTTTCAAGAAAAAGAAGAAATTAGATCAAAATTGGAAGAAACATATGAAGAGAGAGATAGAATTGGAAAGGTTATATATGTGTAATTTTTATCTTTCTAGTAAAATCTTACTCTGCAGAGGTAGAGCTCTGCTGCTACTTGAATGATATTCTAAATTAGCAACCAAAGAAGGCCTCTGAAAATGTTCTGCTTTACAGTTCAGGCATGTTTGTAATGCTGTGTACTGGTGCACTGGTAAATCCTAGTGGAACTGAGTACAGAAATCAGTGTTGCAATCTGTAATACAAATCATATGAGGCATTTGCTCTTCAGAGGCATCCAGAAGAGCACGTGAGAAATATGTGTTGCCTGGATGAACCAATTCTTGCATCATATGTTATAACAGGTGTAAATGTTAGTGTGTTAATCACATCAGCTATTTCTTTTGAAATAGAAGGAGGGTCTAAAGCTAGAAAATGTACATGATATATTTATTAATTACAGGAAATAGACATGCTGAGGAAGCAAGTTGACTCTCTTGCTGAGGAGAATGGGAAATTACTCGGTCATCAAAATGTAAACCAGAAGATTCAGTATCTTGTGAAACTGAAGAAAGATTACACTAAACTCACTGAGGTGAGTTCCAGAGAGTGGAACACAGAGCAGCAGTCTGATATAAAGGAGACCTAAACTTTGATGATGGAAACTGGCATTCTCACTCTTCTGTTTGAGAGTGACACACCTCTGCTTTTATACAGCTGTGTGGGCCATGCCTGCTCTCCCTTCTTGCAGGTCCCAAACAACAGTTACCTTTGTATTTCCTCAAAGCACATCTCCTGAGCTGTTTAAATCACCTGAAAGTGCATAGATGTATATAACTTATTTGGAAACATGAAAGGTACGAGAATAAGGTCCCTTCCGTACTCACAGTTCTAAATATCATTTTTCTGTTTTACAGGAGACTGAAAAACTGCGAGCTGAAAATGCCTTTTTGAGAGAAACTAAAAGATGTGACGTATGTAGACATCATGATCAGTTATAATGGCACGAATCTGCAGAGCTGTATCTTTAAAATGTACAGCATAAGCAAAAGCTTGACTTTTGCTGTGAATGTGAATGTTGTCAGCTGTATTCAGTACAGTTTTTTTTGTATTCACATACTCCTTTAGATTTTTTTTGCTGGTAACAACTTTCTGTTACCAACTTTTAGTGAGGAATTTTCTCAGTTAAGTGGGCAGCTTTCATTGGTGTTTCAATACCTCCCTATTGAAGAGGCTCTGTGACTCTTCAAAAACTGATTTTGCATAGGTGCTAACAGACACCTTGAATTGTTTGTATCTTGTCAAGGAGAACCTTTCTCTCTGGGAACACGCCTGGATTCTTCATTCCTTTTGTGCTTCTGTTCAGTTCCTGCTGAAATTTCTGAAATGCTGCATTTTCCACCTGAGCTGAATTTTAAAAAGCACAATTCCTTAGTTGTTTGTTTTACCTAAGCATAGGATGTTTTTACTAGGTGAACATAAACTTGTCAGATGGAACAACCCATAACCTTCAGTAGCTGTTTAAAGACAACTCTCAAATTGAAGCTTGCTCGATAAAGCAGGAATGTGTATGTAATAATAGATTTGTAAATACTACCATACATTTTTTTGGCCTTTATTCTTCTCTTTTTCTTATTGAAATTAAAATGCTTCAAAAAAGTACTTTTTACCAGTATACATTCTGTTTTAGTACTGTAGGCAATGCACTCTAAGCCACTTAGAACCATTCTGTGCTCAAACAGAAGATAGAAATGTGATGAGAAACATGAAGTTTGCAAAGGAGCGTGGCATAAGGCCATTTAATCACACGTACTGTAAGTAAGTGAAACGTTTCTTAGCAGAACGCAATGCACTGATCTAGGTTGTGACACCGAGCACTTGTCTTTTTAGTGGCTTCTACGGTCAGTAACGCCACCCTCTTTGTCCTGGGTAGCCACAAAGCTTTCTGCCCCCAGAAGCAATAGGGCTAAGGAGAACGGAGCCGCCCCCGGCACGGCCAGCTGGAGCCTCGGGAGCTCTGTGCGCCGTACCTCTGCGTCTGCAGCCTTAAAGCTCTATCGGTACCGCGTCCTTTCTAAATAAAGCCTTTGTATACAAACGTCGCCCTGCCCCTCTTCCTCTCGGCGCGGGGCGGTGCTGCGGCGCTCCCGGAAGCGGGGCGGGTTGCCGGCATGCGGCCGGGCGGCGCGGCGCTGGCCGCGGGGCTGCTGGGGGCGGCGGCCGCGGGCGCGGCGAAGCTGGCGCTGGGGGCGCGGGCACTGCGCGGCGGGGAGGAGGTTGGAGGCTGGGTAAGGAGGGAGGGAGGGAGGGAGGGAGGGAGCCGGGGCGGGGAAGTGACCGCACTGAGTTACCGGCTGCGGCCTCTGCCGGCCGCGGAGTTCGCATCTGATGGAGAAGTGCGTGCGGGCCCTTCCTCGTGCTCCGGCGGGTGCCGCTTTGCTCTTGCAGCCCGTGGAGATGTGCTAAACGTTTGGGGTATGGGGAGATGCTGAGCTCTGCGGGCATCTGGAAAACGCAGCAGGAGTTTCCGTGTGTCTACGAGTGGTCGGAAGGAGAATGAACATTCCGAATCCTGGTGCTCTGATTGCCCCCCAAAAGATTCTGCTCTGCGCTGACCAAAAAGTAAAGCACGGAGTGTCAGCAGCTCCTAATGTGCAAGTAACTGCGAGCTGGGACTGCTCACATGGGGAGGGGAGGCTCGTAGGGGTCTCATCCACATCCATAAACCCTGCCCTCCCCTGGCACAGCTCCATTCTCTTGTGTCTGGTCGCTGTCACACAGAGCAGAGCTCAGCGCTGCCCTCCGCTCCCTGTGAGGAGCTGCAGCCGCCATGATGCCTCCCCTCAGCTCCTCTGCTCTGCGCTGAGCAAACACAGGGACTGCAGCCGCTTCTCGTATCCTTGCCCTTCAGACTCTTCCCCATCTTGGTAGCCGCCCATTTTTGTAGCCCTCCTTTGGATGCCCACATAGTTCTATATCCATTTTAGATTGTGTTGCCCAGAACTGCACTCAGTGCTGCAGGTGAGGCCACAGAGCACAGTGGGACGAATTTCCCTCTCCCAGCTGGCAATATGGGCCTGGTGTGCCCCAGGTCCAACTCCAGGCTGGATGAGGAGAACTCCAGAGGCAGAACTCCAGAGCTCAATCGTGCTCAATTCTGTAATTATGATTTGTTTTTCTGAACAGATTGGCTCCTCCACTTGCTTTTCAGGTCCATTTGAGTGATTACTGTGAACTAAATTAATCAGTCTAGCTGTAAAACATAAGTTTGAAGCAAATGCCGATGTTCCCAGAGCTTACCCGTTACAGGACCTGCAGGACCATAAACACATAAACACTTTCAGAGGGCTCACTGTTTGACTCCTGTGCACTTGCTATGAAGGCATTTCTGCAGAGCTGCCGCATAGGATTGAAGTTTGAGTTTTGCATTTGTGGAAGAACTACGGAAATCTACAAATGCACCTAAAAAAGCTGCTGACTTTTGTATAGTGTGGAATGTAGCAGATGTTAGAAGTGTACTGATGCTTCTGAGAGGTGGTGACAGAGCTTCAGGATGCTCAGTAGCAGCACAGAGACAGATCTCCAGGGCAGACGGATGTGTGCTGGCCCCACCTGAGAACGACCTCACTTGTGGGGTCATTTTGCCTGAAGAAAGCCTTTTCTTTACTTTCCCCACTCTCCCGCCAACCTCCGTCTAAATTTGCTTCTGCCACTTCAGCGGTGGTTCTGGATTATCTGAAATGTACACTCACTTAATCTCTTCTTAGAAAAGCAATCAGAACAGTAATCTTTGACTCACTGGGCTGGCACTGCTGAGCCCTTTGCAGGGAAGGAATTACACCTCTGTCCTTCCTTGTGGGGAGCACCCGGGGATGTTCCCATCTCTGCACTGCATGCTATTGCCATGACTGCTCTTCTGCCTGAGATGCAGAAGGACTCAGCCTCTCTGAAAAACCTTCCTCTGGACACGTGCCACCACTAGAACATGCTACAGCTGAGTTCTGAGCTTCTGCAGTAGAAGTTCAGCAGTGGAGTTTTATTGAAGACAGCCAGCATCCTTCTAAGGCTGGTAGGCTCATCGAGCAACGTGGGTCAGGCAGCACCTGCAAAGGTCTCTAGTCCAGCCCCAGTAGGGCTGGCTGATGGCTCATGGCTTTCTCCAGTCAAGCTTGGAACGCCTCCAAGGTTACAGAACCCACAGCCTCTGCTTCAGTGCTTGTTTTCCCTTGTGTTGTATCAACATTTCCCCTTTCCTAACCCATGCTTGCTGCCCCTTTTCATATCCCAATGTAACTCACTGAAGAGCCTGGCTCCACCACTTCTTCATCTTCTTGGTGGGTAGCTGGAGACAGTATGAGATCTTTTTATCCCTGGATGCATTCAAGGCCAGGCTGGATGTGGCTCTGGGCAGCCTGGTCTAGTGGTTGCAACCCTGCCTGTGGCAGGGAGGTTGAAACTAGATGATCATTCTGGTCCATTTCAACCCAGGCCATTCTCTGATTCTGTGATTCTATCTTTAGGCCCTTTCTCCTCACAGTCTACACTGATAGGGTCTTTTTGATACAGAGAAGAATATACTGAATTTTTATAAAACATGGAGATATTTTTCATATCTTCCAAATGTGCCTGACCTCTAGCAGCCTACATGGACATACTGAGCTGCCCCAGCCAAGGCAAAATGTGCATTAATCCAGGCAGAGGGAGAGGCCCAGAGCTATCTGGAAGGCAACCCCCATCCCACAATGAGCCGTGACATAGCAGCAGATTTCTTCCTCGAAGGACTGGTGTGTTTGGACCTGGCTGACCCTGTGATCCCTCTCAGCAAGGTTTGCCAGGGCGGTGATGTGTCGGTGTAAAGGGCCTCGCACCGCAAAGCATTCCACAGGTGGGAATTGTTTGGGAATGTTTGCCATTGCCGTGATAAAGTTGGAGGACTTTGCTACTGATGGGGCAAAATGAGGCCAAACACGTGAACTCTGTGGGATTGGGGTTAGCCTTGGAGACTTTGTGCCAGCCATCAAGCAGCGGTTTGTTTTGATGATAGAAGGAAAGGATGCCATCCAAAGGGATCTTGCTGTTAGAGCAGGTTCAGAGGAGGGCCATAAAGATATCAGAGGACTGTAGCACCTCTCCTCCAAAGACAGGCAGAGGGAGCTAGGCTTGTTCAGTATGGAGAAGGAAGGCTGCATGGAGACTTCACTGTGGCCTTCCACTATTTAAAGGGAGATTATAAACAGAAGAGAAGTGAACTTTTTACATGGGTAGATAGTAATAGAAAGAGAGGGAATGGTTTTATGCTGAAGGAGGGGATTTAGATTAGATGTCAGGGAAGTATTTTCACTGAGAGGATGGTGAGGGACTGGTACTGCCTTCCCTTACAGATTGTGGATGTCCCATCTCCAGAGGCGTTCAAGGCCAGGCTAGTTGGGAATCCAGTCAGCCTGATGTAGTAGGTGATGTCCCTGCCCGGGCAGGGGATTGGAACTGAACGATCTTTGAATTCCCTTCCAACCCAAGCCATTCTTTGGTTCTGTGATTTATTGCCTTTCCCTTTAAGTTTCTGCTCCTTTAACAGCCTCCCTGGCTGGTGTTTGTTAGTTTCTTCTGAGCAGGAGGTGGTTGGAGGCCCCAGGGGTCAGTTGGCAGAAGGAGGGCGCAGTGCTGCTGTTCATGGAGGCTGGATTTGTGGGTGGCTTCGTGCCTACAGCTTCTGCACCTCCAGGGCTGATCTCACAACGGCCTTCTATTGACTGAGAGAGGCAATGGGATGTGAAGATGTTATCACTGTGGGCTGAGCAAAGTCTTGCTTTTCCTCACCTTCGTGGACTCCCTGAGTGTTTATAGGAGTTATTCTGCCTGTGACATCATCCCTTGTGGCCTTCACATCACCTGCACAACACTGAGAGGCTAGGAAATGGGCCACAGCAGCTGGAACAGAGGATATTGGGTAGACTGCCTAAAGGCTTTTTAGGCAATGCTGTGAACTTACACAGTGCTGACATGTACAGCTGCATTCCAATCTGACAGGGAAAAATAAGACCCTTTTCCATTTGTCTGGTGATGGAAAGGCACTTCACTGCATGGTGTGTGCACCAAGTTGTGAGGCCAGAAGCTTTCTGGACTTTGGCAGCTACTGTACACTGTCCCAGCACTTCTGAGCTTGTACTTGAGGCTGGATTCATGTTAAGATGCCTCAGAGCCGTGCTCCATCCAGGGCTGTTTTCTTGTTTCAGTTGCCTTCTGTGATGTAATATATTCATCTTCATGTGTTACCTACTGTAACTCAGTTTCAAGCCCATGCTACTCTGGTTTCAAAGTGTTCACGTTATAGTAAGGCTTAATAAGCAGTCAGCGAAAATAATCAGTTCTTTCCCTTTTGTTCCACAGCTGCCAGTTCTACTTCGTGTGGGCTGCATTGGCTTGGTGTGTGCCTGCAATGCAGTCATGTGGACAGTCTTTGCAAAAGCCCTGCGACTGTCCTCCTCCTCAGCCTCTGCTTCTGTGACCACAACAGCCTCCAACTTCATCTCTTCGGTGAGTACATTCATTCCTGAGGTGCTGAAGCCTAGAGGAGCACGGTGATGCTATGTGAAGGGAGGCGTAGGTACCCCTCTGCAGACAGCAGTGAAATAATTGTGTCAGCTCACAGCTGTTCCTCACACAGAGGCTGTAGGATTTTCTGCATGATGTGGGAGGAAGAGCATTACTGCCACGTGCCATACCTTGGAGCAGCTGTAAGGTGTTTTTTCTAATTGCCAGTGAGAGTTGGGGCTGGGAGTGTTTGCTTTGTTTTGGTTTAGCTAAAGCAAAACCTCACTTTTGACAGATCAAAGCCACCTCTTAGTGAGAGCACAAGCACTTTTGGCCCACAGGCATGCTTGCATTTCACTCTCACAAGCCATTAATCTTCTTTCTGTGCTCCAGCCCTTCTCATCCAGCTCACAGTCTTGTCCAAAATGCTCTCAAGTAAGTGGAGCTGTGTTTTTACTGACTGAAGTGGAGACTTGGTTCCTGAGAGGTTCTGGGAAGACAGCAAAGCATGCTTGCAGCTGCTGAAATCCTGTTGAGGAGCTCCATTTGGCTGTGCTTCCCAGCTGACTGCTAAACAAGGTTATCTCCAGCATCATCGTCATCCATATGTTGGTGATGATCCCACCAGGAGTTATCTCTAGCAAGTTCTCCTGGGCTGCTGAAGAAGCCCTAGAGAGGAGCTGGCAGTGCAGAAGGCTTTAAGGTGGTTCAGCTCCGCAAAGCTTTGTCTTTCTCTTTTCCTCCAGGCCATCCTGGGCAAGCTTCTCTTTGGGGAGACGTGGACACCATTGTGGTGGGTTGGCCTCACTGTGACGCTCTGTGGCCTCATGCTGCTGCACACTGCTGCACCCCAGCCAACACTGCACATGGTGGAGAAGAAGGGGTTGTGACATCTCTCTCCATTTCCAGCTTGGATTATGCTTCAGTAGTGCTGCTGCCAGGTCCCAGCCAGGTCCTCACACCATGCACTCTCTCATTCCGTGCCAGAGCCTACTGAGTGCCGTCAGACCTGCCCAGCTCCCTTGCATGTTTCTCCATCAATTTGCAAAGTCATGCATATTACGTTTTCCATGGTTGGCCAGAGCAACCATTCCGTGTGCCTGGTGGAGGTGTGGGAACAGTGACAACTTGAGGGAGAGCTGATCAGTCTGAGTCAGTTGTCTGGAAACCAGAGCCAGAGCTTATCAGCCACCCCTCCTCTTCACACCCTGCGCTGATGGAGCCTTCCCAGTGCCAGGACGGGAGGGAGAAAGTAAACATAGTGGCTGTGGAAGGTGACCGTACATTGGTACTTTTCCATGAGAGGAACCATCCCAAAATGAAAAAGAAAGCAGAACTAGGCACTGAAGGTTGTGGACGTTTCTGCCCTGCTGGTGGTGATTTTCCTTGCTGCCTCTTGGAGAGGCCCCATGCTTGCTCCAGGTTCCTATTGTCTGGAAGGTGGTGGAGCATTACATTAATTCCTTTGGCTGCCTCTATCACACACACTTTTGACTTGCCATCTACGTCTGTTGCCTGTAATTCCCAGTTTCCCATTCCTGACATGTTGCTCACTGTAAGGGGTTGCTTTTTCATTTAAACTCTTAACCAGCACTGATTTTTTATCACTATTTCTGGTTTGTGTATGTCATGCTGTAATACGGGAAGAACACCGCGTCATCAGTCAGCCCTCTTCATTATGTCTGTGATGAACACTCATCACTTGAGCTGACAATTGCTTTAAGTAAAAATGTTTTTTCTCAGGCAACATTTTTTTCCACTCCTGAAAGATGCTATTTTCCATTTGTCCAATGTAATTAAGTAGATCAGTGGTTCCCTCTCGTGCTACGTTTTGGGTCAGTAATTACTCTTCGTTGCCAGAATGAGATGCCTGCCAGTATGTTACATGTGGCAAGAATCATCATTTACAAGGTGTTGGTTTCTTTCCCCCGCCTGCACACGCTTGTTTTCTGTGGTAATTTTTGACTGCAATCCTAATAAAGAATCATAATGATGCCTAAAAATGTATGCATCATGCTGGTGATACCATTTGTTTGCTCTGGGCTTGCCAAGTTGTGTCTTCTTGTAACTGCAGAAAGTGAGTCATAGTCATGGCATGTGCAGAAAACCCAAGGACACGTTTGTGTGAGCCTCATTATCAGGACCTGTCATGTTTGTATTAGCTGGCAGATCAGCTCCGTGCCCAACAGGATTGTAAAAATAGACTTGTAGGTGGAAATGCCACTGGAGTTGGATTTGTGCCTTTTCCTTCTTGATATCAGATGGCTACAAAGTCGCTGTCCCCTTGCTGCTTCAGGGGAGAGCCCTCGCTCCTGGTGCTTGCCATCCGTGTCCTGAGAGGCCACTTTGCTTTTCCCCCTTACTGTGCTCGTAAGTCTTTTCCTCAAAGAAAGCAGCATTGGTGGGAAAGGGGACAGAGTGCTCCCAATGCCTATTCCTCATAAATGTGGAGAGGGCTTTTTGGAGGCCAGCAAGGACAGATTGAGTGATACATGTCCATTGGCCTTGGAAGCAGGGCCGTGTTTCAGTAAGGGACAGACAGAGGAGGAGGTGTTTCTTGCTTGATTAGGCTGGCTGATAACTGGCGATGGATTGGTTTGAATTGGCTTAATTCACATGTGCTAGACAAGCAGGCAAACACTGGCCAGCTCTGTCTGACACAGGATCTGCTGAGCTGCCAGTGAGCTGCCATGACTCAGGGCATTAGAAAGGAAGTTGCTGCAGTCAGTGGCTGAAACAGCAGCAAGCCTGGGGCAGCCCCTGCTCCTGCACACTTGAACCCCGTGGTGGGAGCAGAAAACAGCTGCTAGGAGCTAAGGCCCATCATCATCCCTTGTCTGTCTGCAGAGCCAACAACCAAGAACTGTGCATTTTCAAGCCTATGAAATCTCGTTAGACCTTCACATGTGACTGAGAAATAACAAAGGCTACAAGCCTAGTTTGTTTAACCCAGTGTGTCGCTTTGAGGCATGATCAGTCAGCTGTAAGCCTCCATGCAAGTGACTGGAGAAAGACCAGACTGGCAGTGATTGAGATGTCTGGTCTGTGGATAGCCACAGCGCCCACAGCGCTGTGCCATGCTTCCAACCTTGTGCCTTGCTCTTTGCCCTTGGCTCAATGTGCACAAAATCTCCAAAGCAAAATGTAGAATTTCCTTCCAGGCTCTGAGGAACACTTAGCCTGTTTCTCACCTGGCATTGCCACAAGTAAGGACTTCTACCAGATGAGCGTCAAGCTCACTTCTAAGTCCAGTGCTAGAGTGCAGGAACAAGAAGTTTATCCATTCCGATCACTTTTTGAGCTCATTGGTTAGTTTGATTGTTGCTGCCCCTCCTTTTTTATAGTTCAAAACTGCCATTTATTTCAGAATCACTGTTGCGTGCCAAGGTCTAGGAGATGTTCGTACATCCACAGAAAGCTTGGGCAACATTTTGCTCTGTGATACTTTTAAGACAGTAGAAGACAAACTAGGACTGTGAAAACGTTGTCCAAGACTTCATAAATATTACAAGCTGGAAGTGGAAACTAAGTTTTTAGTTCCAAGAGCTGTGGGAGGGAAAGATTGCTGAGCAGGGCACATTGGTGGTGGAATTCCTCTCTTTTATGTAAGCAGGGCTTGGTGGAGCCTGTCAGCACAGGGCCGGGGCTGCAATTGCTGTGTGATCAAATGGTGCTTCTTGTAAATAGTTTGTGTGTGGTCATCCAAGGTGCACCTGAGGTGATCACAAAAAGCAGTGTTGTCATTTTCAAATGTGTCTTAGAATCATAGAATCACCAAGGTTGGAAAAGACCTCCAAGATAATCCAGTCCAACCACCCACCTACCCCTAGTATTTCCCCACTAAGCCATGTCCCTGAATGTATCTTGAACACCTTCCTGGGCAGCCCATTCCTCTATCCAAACCTCAGTGGCTGAAATTTTCTATGTACAGATATTTTAAATCACACACAGTAAGAGGGATGTGAGACTAACATGCAAATGTGGTGGACACTGTGAGGTGGCTGAAAATCATGACCAATCCTACAACCTTGGCTTACAAGGCCAGAAGGTGGGTTGTCCGTATGCTGAAACTACAGCAGTGCATGCGGCTTCTGCACACCTGAGCTCAAGTATTTATGGAGAGGATTATCCAGTACACATCTCCCCAAAAATGCACTTGTGTTTGCACATCTCTTAGGCACTGATGGCAGTGAGTCTTTCCCGCACCTTTCCCTCACTGTCAAGCCGATTTATAAGCATCCTGGTGATCAGATTCTTGTGAAGCAGGGCTCTGCCGTGTCATGCTTCAAACAATAGAACAATCAGGTGCGTGGTGAACAGCAGGATTCATGACAATGCTCACAAAGATTGAAGTATTCTTGAGTTAATTGTGGGAAATGTTTGAAAATTCTATTGTACGAGGAAGGTCTGAGAGTATTATATTCTAAGATAAATAATGTCCTGTATACCTTCACAGGGAACAAAACCAGATGAAATGGTACTTGCAGTTGAACCTTACAGCGTCGTTTGACTTGATTGGGTAAAGGACTATACGTAAAATATGAGAAGTGTCCCTATTGTCATTGACAATGAGTCATTTACTTGAAAGATTTGTACAACAGCCCAGTCACAGTGTTTATCAAGATAGCTCAGTGACAGTGTTTATCAAGACAGCTTACAGGATATTATGTTTACAAGGGTGGTAAGTGGTAGATGTGAGTATGTTGAATATGCTCAGTAGATTGTTCTGCAGTCTGGTGTATAAAAAATTCCATCTAACACAATTCAGTCCTCATGTGACCCTGCAGAGACCTTTAGCGCTGATGGCATTGCAAAATTGCAGTGCAACACCGTAAATTGTTATAGTACATTTTTCAAGAAAGAAAGTCTCAATGATTCAGAACAGAAGAGTAATGCAATGGGACTGAACTTGACTGACACCTAAAAAAACAGTGTGGTCCTGAGGAAAAATGAAATATTTGAGACTGAAGTACGTGTTCTAACTTTGAAAAGACAACTGTTAGGCCAGATGTTTCAGTACTCTTTCTAAGGTATTTTTGTTTCTAGATCTTTTGGCACTGAAAACGCATCATCATGTTATCTGTAATATCTGAAATGGGCTCCTGAGCTGTTGGCAGGGTGGGCACTGTCTTGATGGTGCTTGAAGGAAAGGTACAAAGGCGGTGGAACCAGGCTCCTCTCTAGCAGACATTGTTAGAAGAGGCAATAGGCACAGGTTGTGCCTTGAGAGTTCCAAGATGGCATTCAGGAAAAAAACATTTCGCCAGGAGTTGAGTTGCCCAGATGGCTGCTTCTTCGTTACAGAGGTTTTCAATGCTCAACTGGACAAAACCTCAACTGACCCAGTCTAGTACTGGTGACCTCCCACTTTGGGGAGGAAGTTGGACTTTCTGTGACCCGGGAACAGATTTCATGGGCAACACCACATATACTGGAATTTGTTTGCCTCCGCATTTGGCAGTTCCCATTAAGTGCTGCTGTGTTACGGAAAGGAGGTTCCTCTTTGAGGTACCATACAGACCTAGGCTACCAGGGGCATGATAGCTAACCACAGAAACCGTCATAGACACTTGGGTATGCATTCATGGCTTGAAAAGAGACGCACTGTTATCAAAGGAAAAGGGCCCTACTGCATGGCTGCTGATAGTGCGAGTTGCCAGAGCACCTGGAGTCCACAGTTACAGGCAGCACCACAATATCCAGCCATAACACTTGGCACATGCAGGACGCTTGCTCTGAGCAGCAGCTCCCAGGAGCACTGCATGCCCTTGAAGTCCCATGAAATTGCCAGTGCTGGGTTAGTGAGCACCGGGGAGCTCCTGGGCTGGGGCAGATGTTGCACGGGCCTTGCAGGGGCTTTGCTACACCTTGCAGAGATGAGGCCACTACGATGGAAATAAGGAGGAGGGCAGTGGGAGGAGTGGCAGTCAGCTGGGTGCAGCGGGTGGTACCAGCACTATTTGGAAGAAACGTGTACACCTTCACCCCAAACCCATCACTCAGTGTTCCCTGGTTCATACCGTAGTTTCTTCCTAGCTATGGGAATTGGGATGAAGCTTGGATATGTTGAACGTGACACCTGCTCACCTCCTCTGAGAAAGGAGCAGCTGGTTCTTTCGGGTCTGCATCAAGAGATAAGCATTGAGCAATTCTGCTTGGCGCCATGGCCTGCTCTCAGTGCGTGTGCACGTCCTGAACATCAGCCAGGGTTTCTTGTAAATTACAGCAATGCTAGGAGCAGCGAGCCGTGCCCCCAGGGAAAATAAGTCATTACAAATTCCACGTTTTATGCTGCCGAGTGAGATGTTTGAAGTGACTCGATCCCTTCAGGACATTCCCAAGTTAGGCAACAGGCAGGCACGGCTGTCAGGAACCAGTGCTGCAGGAAGATGCTTCCTAAGAAATCCTAATGGGCCTGGAGCTGTTCCAGCTGCCTATCCGAGTGAGAGCTTCTTGAGCTGCTATGAAGGGCTATGACCTGGATCTTGCAAAGAGGGGTGAATGGGAGCGTGCTGCCTCAGCAGCTTCTCAGGACAAACAGCTGCAGGTCCCCAGACACAAAACCCACCGTGCTGTGCCCATCCATGCAGCCACACGTGTTGTGGGCATCCCCACAGGGACAGACAGGAAGCAGCTGTGCCGCCCCTGCAGGAAGAAATGTCACTTGAAGAAGCTGGCAGGCCAGTTTCTGTTTTCTCAGTCAGACATGTGCAGCCAAACACATATCCTGTAGGTGGGAAGGCATTCAGTCAGTATTTTCCTTGTTCTCTGAAACTGTTTTAAATATATGGATAAACTATTTATCGCTGAGTCAATATTTATGCTGTTGATTTCCTTGCCCTTACCATTTATTTTTTCTATAGCCTTCTTCTGCTCCTTTTTCCTCGTGCCTTTTCATATTGTTTGCTGTAGGTGTAGGCCGTGGATGTGTGTCCACACTGCAATCAGTCAGCGTGGCCGCACATGCACCCTGGAAGCTGGTTCAGGGCTCTAGGGTGGAGTA